GATGTGCTGTGCCCATGTACTTCTGCTTGTAGCTGTGACTCCTTTGTTTTTAAACATTTAATCCTGCTGAGGAGCATGCGTATGTTCCTTTAGCAGGTTCATAAACTCATTTTTCTGGAGAAACCTCTATAATACTTTTGCTGGAGTTGGACAGGCTTGGAGCTAAGCTGTGCATGGGTTTTGTGTGTGCAAGTGGGAAGACACATGTAACCTTGGCTGAGGTTGTCTTCCTTGGAGGCTGATGGGACACCCACGCCAGAGAGGAGTGAACTGTGCCTCATGTCCCATGGGAGACATATCTGGAGATGGAGGTGCCAGATGCTGCCCTGGGGGCAGGGCATGAGCTGAGATGTCCGAGGGGTGTCTTGTCTCAAAAATGTGGACCAATGCATGTGGCCTAGCAGAAAGTAGGAAAGAGGAACATACACTGTTTTCTTTGGCATTGGTGGGTTTGCCGGGTTGTGTTCTTGGCTTTTAGAAGGTTCACAGATCTTCATGGAGGTGGGCTTTGGCCACCTAGTAAGGGTTAAGCATGGGATTTGAATGTGCGGAAATGGGGATCAGCTTTAGCAGTTGTTTGACTGCTCCTGGTGCAGGATGCCATGGGGAGGGCGGGTAAGGCAGGTGTCCCTGGTGCCATCCACCTTCATCTGCACCCGAAAGGGAGATTCTTCCAAGAGAGATGCAGATGATACTTGCAAGCTGTATCCATCTTGCCTGTTTTAGCTGCACTGATGCTTGGAGATGGAGCATGTGATAAATGAGCACAATGGGCCCAGGACAAGTTTAGTCCCTTACAGAGTCGGATCTGAAAACCATAGCGGGGCATCTTCATTAGAAACAGACACTTTTCCCAGTCTGCCATCATTACAGAGTGGTTGTCTTCCTTAAAGCTTATAATCAAATAAGTAAAAAATTTGAATCTGACATCCTGAAGTTTTTAAAAGCTGGAAAAACATCTCATTCCGTTGGAAAGGAAATTTGAGATTCAGTTACTTCCCTTTAAAAGATCCCAGGCTGGTGCTTCAGGCAGGGGAAATGCTGGCCCTTGTTTACCATGGTTCCTGAACAGCTAGGGCAGCCTCCTCTCAGCGTTTTACACCTTCCCCAGACCTGAAGGGGTTACATTTTAAAATGAATAATGACTAAATTTATTCGTCATGGACAAATGATGACAGCTGTTGAGATGCTCCTGTTAGCGCTTCCCAGGGGATAAAGTCAGGCTGGATCCTAGTGCAAGCCAGCCGAGCCAGGCAGACTTAGCTCGTCTTCATCCTGGATTATTTGTCCCGGGTTCCCCTCGCTAGAAGGAAATTTCCTTCCTAGAAGTGAACTGAAGTTTCCTCTACTGAAATGGGTGTTGATGAGAATCTTGCAGAGCTGCAGTTGTAGCGAGAGGACAGAGGCCATGGCTGTTTAAATCCACGTGGGAAGACAGCATGCTTAATGAATACAAGGGGCAATGATTGATTATGTTCTGGACTGAAAGCCACGGCGCTCTGTGAAGCACTCTTACATCTGGGCACGCTATGGAAAATATGAAGGAATGTTGAGGAAGCTTATTTGCAGAAGGATATGTACTTGTAAGCAATTTTTTTTTCTTCTTAAATAATGTAAAGGAATTGAAAAATGTAAAGCAGATTGTCTTCTCTCTTTCTCTGAGACAGCAGAGTGGCGAGCAGACAAAGGCCTCTTTTATAAGGGCATGTCTGACAGAGTACTATAAGGTCCTTTTAAATGAGCACTGGGAGTGTCTTGGGATGGGAGAGCATCAGTGGTTATTTAATGTTAGAATTAGGCACTGATTCTGCTTCAGTGCACCTCAGCTGGTGCCCTGAGAGTTACACCCATGCTGAATTTACCATTTGCAGATACGCTGAAAAATATGATCCTAGCTCAAGTGATTATTATGAACAGGAATCAATGGGTGGCAAAAAAAAGGGCTTTTTAACAATAGTGTATAGTAGCTTGTTTTTGTGTTCTTCTCTGTACTCCTGTGTTCAGGTTTCTTTCTGTTCTTTGTTTCTCTTTCTGTCCTGCACACGTGCTGCTGGCAGACTTGATGTGCAGTTCTGAATGTGGTGCTGTCATTCTGCACTGCTTGGATGAGAAAATACTGTTGGGTTGCTGAAGGGATATTTTGGGTTGATAAATATGTAATGCTTAGTTTGTAGAGTTAATGAACAGGAAGATGTGACTGTAATCCAGACATCCCCAGAACTGTGGGTGGGCTGGTTGGATTTTTGGAGTGGTTTTTTTTTTGCTAATGCTCAGAAAAGCCTGTTTTAGGTGAAAATCATAGTTTATTTAATTGCTAAAATGCTACGGGAGTATGATACTTTTAATATCTGCATGTTTTTATTTTTTATTTAGTATATGAAATAGTAAACCACACCCTCGTCTCTTTTCAGAGGGGCGAGGCTTTAAAAATGCAGATAGAAGAGGAAGTGAGTTAACTAGGGCTGCATCTAGATAGCCTGAAATGCAGCTATGGAGAATTTTATTACCCAATGAAAGTGACTGTGAACTAGTAAAGTATGTTTTGTTTTGAATATGACCGACTTTCTCTTGGCTGGTAATACACATGTGGCAAATAATAATCTGCCTAATATCTATATAGGAGCTTTTGAAATAAGTGCAATTGGGACAAGTTTTGCTTAGAAGTTTTTGAATTGAACGTCTGTGGAAGTCTCTCTGAATCACTTAAACCCCTTCCAAAAGGCTTCAGAGATTACATGTTTTAAAGTGTATTTTGATCTGCCCTGACCTTGGTGCAACTCTCACCAAATAACGTTTTTGAAATATTCGTGTTTGAACTACATTGTGTCTTTATGAAACAAAAATTCAATTTTGCTTTTTAAGAACTGCCTGTGGTAGAATTCACTGGGTGAACCACCTCCTAACCTCGCAGAGGATTAGCCCTCATTGCAAAAAATTGAGGAGGTGGGGGGGGGAAGGGAAGAGAGGGGAAAAAAGGCAGTTGAGAATTTAATTGGTTTTTAACCTTCAGCCAGTGGCCTTGTATATTTTTCTATTAAGTGAGAAACAATATTAATAAATCACATTGGAAAACTGTGTTAATAAATCTTGAGTTGTTGTGTTAACACAGAATATAATCAAACAACTTATTAAGAATCTGGCTAGGCTAAACAAACTCCTGCAATGAATTTTCATTTAATTGAATTAAAAACATATTTTCTAATCCTTTAATCATTCTCATGATTGTTCCCTGAGCTCTTTTCAAATTATTTTTGAATTACATGTGTCAGCACATGACTGGTGTCAATAGGGAGCTAGCACGGTCTCCATGGCTGCCTCCAGGCACTGTGTAAAGAGAGAGCCTACATCCTAATTATGGCTTATATTCTTCTCCTTAACAGTGTGACCTGAAATTTCTTTAACTTCATGTGTTCATTTTTGCCTTGTTCACTTTTGCCTGAACAACAGTACAAGTACCTGTTATTATGTTACCCCTGTCCTTCAGATGTTGCTTTTTTTCCTTTTAGCCCTTTCCTGTATTTCAAGACATCTCGAACATCAGAATTAAAGGGAGAGATGTCCTTGGCCACCTCTTTTAACTTTTTGAATGCTTCTGTGTACCTGCCATTTCTGTGTTGTGCTGTGGTTGGATTATGGGATCATGTGCACAGGACATATTGAAAATAGGGTGATTGGGTTTTCAGATGCTCTGTAATGGTGCTCCTGTGTCCAGATCCTAATAAACCAATGCCACTTAGGGGAAGGAAGACTGAAGGTGATTGGGCTGAGAACAATACAGGCTTTTCTTTCTTTTCTTTTGCTACCCCTTTAATATGCCTATACTGTTATCAAGTTAATTTTTTACTTTGAGAAAGCTCAACCTGTATTGAATTTCACTCATTAGTGTTCAACTAGGAGCCTGCATTTGTTACTAGATGTTCCCAGGTGCTTTCCTGAGCAGGGATGGATTAAAGCACCTGCTTGACTTTTTGCCAAATGAAAATTGTGAAGGAAATGTTCCTAAACCTGTGGAGAGTGGGTATGTGCCTTGGGTTATTGGAGAGTGATAGACATGAAGCAAGTCTCAAATCTTGAATGAAGTGTTAGTGTGGAGAAGGTAAGTAATGGGGACTGAGCTGGCTTTCTGACCTCAATAATTATGTGTTCCATCTACATCAGCTGCCCAAATGCTTTGTCACCTTTCAACCTAAGGCTGGCTTTTCAAGTGAATTAGATAATCTGTGTAAAACTGCAATATAAGCACTCCTTTGGAATTGAAGTGACCTTCAGTGAGAATCAAAGTGACTGTAGTTCATTTTAAGTTCATTTATGTTCGTGTTTGGTGGTAGAGGCTGAAGCTGAATGTACACAGAAAGCTCTTTAAGTTTTAATGCACTTTTTATTTATGTTTTTATAAATTTGAGGTAACTTTTTCTGTTTCCTTGTAAAGAATATCTAGTGATAATTTAAAGAGTTAAAGGGGATTTATAACTCTGGGTGGGTCTGTGATTAATGGTCTGGGTCTATCAAGAGCATGGATATTGCCATGTGAACTTTCCTGGGTTACCCTATTTATCTTCAGTCTGGTGCAGGCAGTTGGCAGATGTCACCGGGCAGCCTCTACTGCCTCATCTCTTCCACACCTGGATCTTGGACTTGCTCATGGTTTTGGTTTCGCTACAGTCCATGGCAAAATAGCTGTTGGAGGCATCAACATGAGAGGTGCAGACTGTAAACACCCCAAGTGTTATCTGTGGCTCGTGTCTTTCTGCTGTAGATGTGAAGTTTGCTCTTTTTATCTGAATGCATTTATTGAAAGGGTTTATAACATAGTGGCTGCAATAGCAGAGGATTGAGTTCAGTGGCTGAGTGATCTTGGGTGAATAACTGGATTTCTAGGATGAGGACTCTGCTGAGATGAGGGCTGGCAGAGCAGACTGGAACATGCAGCGTGTTTGCTATATCATAGGCATGTTCTTTGCTTCACTGGCCATACAGCTGAGTGTGATTTTCTTTGGCAGATAAAATTTTTGATGATGAAGACTCCGTGGATGGGAACAGACCTTCCTCAGCCAGCTCCTCTACATCTTCCAAGGCCCCTGCAAACTCGCGCAGAGTTGGGATGGGGACTACCCGCAGACTTGGGTCTGCACCTCTGGGCTCCAAGTCTTCTAGTAAGTGAATAGCATGACATTGATGTGAAGTATTTATACTTCATACTGAGCTTATTGCAAGGACTTCCAGACTGGCCCCCAGAATCCAGTAACAAGTTTTTCCCTTTGAAATCATGACGTGTGTTCTCTGTGTGCCACAGCCAAAGTCGGGTCGGATAAACCCCTATAATGTATTTTGCATTTTTGAAAGGTTGGATGTGTGTGGTGGTGCGCTGAGGGCTGTGAGTAAATCATGTCAGTGTTGCAGTGTTCTTTAAACCTTTATAGCTGCAACTCTAACTGATCTGAGACAGGCTGCTTACAGCTACATGCTAAACTTTAGCCCTTGCAACCTAAAACTGACACACTGGCTTGCTTCTAAGACCTTTGGGCATTGCTGGTAATGAAGGCACAGAAAGAAAACTGCAAGCAATAATTCTACATGTGACTGTAATTCTACATGTGGCCTAGAGAAATGGAGAAAGTTCCCTATCTCAGACAGTCTCTAATCTGATTAGTATTCCAGAGACTATTTATCTTCCTTATAATTCGTCTGTTTGTGCACCTGTCAGATCTCCACCTTCATCTATTATAGATGGGATTGAATCTTTAAAATAAAATCTCCCATATAATTAAAGTAAGTATTCCCTTTCATCTTTCAGACTGTGTCCCCTAACTGTTGAGTGATTACTATAATGACTTCCCTAATGTGCCCTCTGTGCCTATGAGTTGAAGGATGCCATGAATGTCTAGCCTGTGCCTGGCATTGAATTTCCCTGTCTCTGCTTTCATTACATCTGCAGCACTCTGAGGCTGCATGGATAGTGAACTTTCTCCTGATTAAGTGCCTTGATAGCTGGTGGTTTCTTAATTGATTCTCTTGTTGATAAGAAGATTGAAAAGGCTTTTTAATTTGTGTGCCAGCAGCCAAAGAGGGAGCAGGTGCTGTGGATGAAGAAGACTTCATTAAGGCATTTGAAGATGTCCCAACGGTTCAGGTAGGTAGAATTACATGTTAAACCACACTGTACTAAAAAGCAGAAGATGGATAGAGGATCTCATGGTAATCATCAGCAAATTGTGATTCGTTGTGATGTTAACAAATCTTCTTTAAAGGGGAAGCAAGTTAGAAGTTCAAGGGAGGCAAGTTTTAAGTGATGGTATCTGCCGGTAGTTCCTGTGAAATCCTCAGAAGCAGAGGGAATGGGGGTGGGAGTGATGTGATAGAGGTATCACAGGACTGGATATTGGGCTGGAACTGGATGTGCACTCTGCACAGTGCAGTCTGGTCAAGTGAAGGCTTAAATCAGCAGGAGCCACTCTCCATCTCATCTGTACCCTCTGGGAACTAAAGGCAAAAGGTGACCTGTGTCTCAGGGATTGGTGCTGTGTGAGTGTGACAGCTGGGCGGTGCACGTTTGCTTATTTGGCTGGATAACTGAGATGCATCACGTATCCCCTCTCCTTCACCAGAGCTTTGTGTTTGGGACGGCTGAACTGCACATGTGTCCGCTCATGATCTTTTGTAGGTCTTGACAAATATAGCCACTGGTAGCTGCAGGAATGCTACTTTAAATTGTGTAATTGTAGTAAAATAATAAGAGATGAACCTTTAATCGTCTTGTGATAATTTTGTAGCTTTTGATTGCAGGTGGTGAGCATAAACTCTGTGCATTATGCAAAGCCACTTGTAGCACATGATGTTTAAGCATTGAGGAGCAAAGGAATAAGAATGTTGTTGGGAAGTGATCTGATTTTCTGGAATAAATCTTGCATTATGGTGCTGCTCTGTATTTCAATTTGTAGATTTATTCCAGCCGGGATCTTGAGGAATCCATAAACAAAATCAGAGAGATACTATCAGATGATAAGCATGACTGGGAACAGAGAGTTTCCGCGGTAAGTAGTGAACTTAAATATGATCTCTTTTAATAGAAGGTTTTTCTATACTGAGCTTAATCCCATGAATAAGGGACTGGGATAACCTCAGGGTAAGGCCATAATGTAGTTTTAGTGATGAACACCTGTTATATTCCCCCAGACTGGGGGGAAATATTTCCTTATGAGACTGAATTTAAACCACATCTGTGAGGGAGTATGCTATTTGATATACAAGAATCTGTTGAGGCAGGATCAGGTTAAACTGGAAGTCATGTAGCAAATCCAGATGTAAAGCTAGAAATTTGCTAGCAGATGCTACAATCAAAATATCAAAAGTCATACTCAGAATATCTTAAAACTTACCTCATAAGGCAGAAAATGACTTGGATTGCAGAGAACTTATTTATACTTCTGCAAAAGGAGGTGTGAAATAATTCAGAAAGAATTTACACACTTAGGTTTTGAATAAATAAATATGACTGTGGGAAATGTGGAAGTGGAAAATTGGATGTTATTTGCATGTCAAGACTGAGTTTTATTTGCTGAGGTGAGCTGTGTTTTCATAATATGAATAGATGCATGGTCTTGTCTACACAGTAGACTTTCATCAGTGTTGTATAGTGACTTCTGTCAAATCCTGTATTGCAGATCTGAGTGGCAGACTGTGCTGATTCAGCTTACTTTTGTTTAATTTTATTTCTGTACTGAGAGCGTGCTTGAATCGAGGCAATGTGCGGGTGCAATGGTGTACAGGAGGGCCTGTGGAGTGTCCAGAGAAATGTCTGTAGGGTGAGATGGTGATCCCTGTAATATTAATAGAAAATTTCCCATTTTTCGGGGTCAGGGCTCCACTTCTATTAGAGCCAGATAATTGTTTTAATGAAGTCAATGGGCACATTATAGATATAAGTCAGTATTACTCAGACCTGGGTGTGAGCCATGCCCTTTAGGTCTAGATATCTTTTAAATATATGAGTCAGTTATGAGATGACCTGTTTTAGAAGCTGTTGTAAATGGGGGAACAGAGGGGAATATTTAAGATGTCTTTTGGTTTAAAAACTAATATTTGTGTTATTGATAATACAGTTTGAGTAGCTATATGCAACACTTCTGGATTTCTGTAAGTTAATGCGTTTATATTATATTACTTAGTATGTTAACCTATGAGTTGAATATAAGATACAAAATAATAAAATTGCTTGGACATCAAGAATCAAGTTCCTCAATGCATGTTCAGGAGTAGTGTACAAGGACCCTGGAAACCAGATATTGACCCAGAACATAATTTTTCTTATATTTATCCCTCATTAACAGTCACTGATTTCTTTTTCTTAGTTGAAAAAGATCCGCTCCTTACTTTTGGCTGGAGCTGCAGAATATGATAACTTCTTCCAACACTTAAGGCTTTTGGATGGAGCATTTAAATTATCTGCTAAAGATCTACGGTCTCAAGTAGTACGAGAGGCTTGTATCACGTTGGGGTAAGTTTACTTTCCATGTGTGCTTGAAATGTGATGTAGAAAAAAGGAACAGACAGTGGTCAAAACACAATTAGGATGCAACTCCTGCTGCTAGTTCTAGACTGTTAGAGGTAGAAAATGATTTTGCTACAGTTGTTTCAGCACATCCATGTAGGCCACTAATTGTAATTCTGCCAAGCTGTGTTCCTCAGTATTAAACAATGCTGATTACAGATATGCAGAATTAGTGATCAGGCTGTGCCTTCATGCATATTAGGGAAGGATTGAACAATAAAGCTGAAAATTTATATGTTTTGTTCCAGTTCAGACTGAGCTAGTTTTTATTTTTGTTGGTCTATCCTTTGGAATGTTTCAAGAAACAGGGTGCTTCAGTGTTTCTAACATTTTTTAAAAAAAATTGTGCATATTAAGGCAAAATAGGGAGTTTCAGTTATAATATAAACTAACTGAAAAAAATATTCTATAACCATGATCCCATTTGTTTGATAATAAGTTTTTAACTGTGCTAGTTACTTTATTTTATGCTGATCTTACTGTTTCTCAGGGTTCAGGTGAATGTAGAGCACAAGTTTGAAATGAAAGCAAAGGAACTCTGTCCTTTGGAGTCAGAGAAGAGATGACAGTTGCAAAGATTGAGATGTCAGATGTGCTTATGTCAGATGTTCTGTCGAAGTCTGACTTGCTTAATCTTCAGCTCACTTATCACCATGACTTCATTCTGTTTTTCAGACATTTGTCATCAGTTCTGGGAAACAAGTTTGACCATGGGGCAGAAGCCATCATGCCAACAATTTTTAATCTAATTCCGAATAGTGCCAAAGTCATGGCCACTTCTGGTGTTGTAGCAGTTAGATTAATCATTCGAGTAAGTATACATCAGAAGGGAACAATATTACAGTTTCCAAATACTGCAATGTTTCTGATGAAATGTGAATGCTGCTGCAATGAAAATTAGATTAAATGCCTAATCTACTTTTCCGATTGTGCTGGGCTTGGCTGTCTCGGATGTCGTGCAGCCTTATTTGTTAAGCTCTGCCAAAATAGTAGGAAAAATGTTTCCTTTTGCAGAGCAAGATATTATGATCCCTCTAAGAGCTGAGCAAACTTTTTTCTTTGAGAGGGTTTTAAACCTGCCTTGCAGCACAGTCTCATCCTCTTAATTATGCTCTACAGTACCTCACAGACAGTTCAGGTTTCATAAAACAATTAGTTCACAGCAGTGGCTTCTGCTTAGTAATTTATTGGGTAATCTGTAGGTAGCCTGATGTCTCTCAAGTTGTCACCACTGGCAATTTAGATTCTCCTGCAGTGTCTTTAGCTCCTTGACTCACTGGGGCCTGTCATTATAGAAGATAATAAAGTATCTGTTAAATATAGCAGATAAAATACATCTTTAATAATAAAAATCTATCCATATTTGTTAATGTTGCTTTATTTAGCAGTTCTGCTTTTAAGAATTGAACTGCAAGAAGTATCTGAATACTGGGCTCAGGTGGCTGAAGGAGGTGGTCTTTCGTTCTGGAGAACTGTGATGTAAAGATTTCTTCCTGTTTCTGTTGTTTTCTTCCAGCATACGCACATCCCTCGGTTAATACCCATCATAACCAGTAATTGTACCTCCAAGTCTGTTGCAGTTAGAAGGTGAGAATTTAGTTTGAATTTACTGGGTTTTACCAGTAAATGAGTTTATATATGTTTTCTGATAATGCAAATGTATTTGCTGTTATTTGTGAAAATGGTTTATACAGACACTCACTTATTATAACATGAACCTCACTCTCCCCCGTGATTTGGGTTCAAATTCAAAGTCAGCTGTCCTGTATAAACTGCAGCACTGCAGAGAGGAAAAGGCATTTTTCCTCAAAGAGAAATGTTTTTTAAACTAATCTTTATGCTTACATGTTGTTGTAACATCATGTTATTTTGGCTTTTTTATGGACACATTCCTGTTCCCCACTCTTAGCTGTTATGTGTTTTCTTTGAGCCAGTAGCAGTAGTAGTCTTCTGTGATAGCATCATTTGGAAGGGAAGTTGGACTGGATGTGCTAATGGTGCTCTCCGCCCTTAAAATCTGAGCACTTCAGTCCACTACCTGGCTGGGAGACTTACCTCGTCCACATAGATGAACTAGTTCTGTTCTAGTTAGACAAAAGGAAGAGCTTTGTTGTTGCTGCATTTGGTGACAAACCTTGAAGTCATTTCAGCGCGCTTGTGCCTTAGTTTCTTGAAGTGAGGAAGGGAGATTAAAGTTGGAAAGTGTCCCCACATGAAGCTAATGGTGAAATTTCTGTGTGAAACTTGAACTAACAGGTTCAAAGTATCAGCATGAATCTTCTGGCCTCCTATCCTGTTTAATGAAAAAGGGGCTTCCTGGATTGTTTTATGTCAAGGCCTCTCTACAGACTTCTCTATAGTGAGCTGCCTGCAGTTAATACTTCAGACTGTTTATTAATGGTGTTTTTAGAGATGTTGATGTTTTTATTGGGGTCTACACTGAATTTTGATGTCCCAAAAAGCTTCCTAACAAAAGATGTCTGTTCAGAGTTGGGGATGGCAAAGCCAGCATGCCCAGATTAATTTAACTCGACATTTCTTCTTTCTCTTCTCTCAGGCGCTGTTACGAATTTTTAGACTTGCTGTTGCAGGAGTGGCAAACACACTCCCTAGAAAGGTAAGTTCTGAATACAAGTGGGTTAGTTCTCTCCTGCCTATATCTGAGGAGGTTAATTCTGGAGAAAGAATAATCTAGGAGGTTAAGATTGTATCAGGTAGGTCTAGTAGAGATTTTTTGGCTACCAAAAAAAGCACGTACTTATGTGCACACACACCATTTGTCCCTGTAATTCTGTCAGTCAGAGTTTGGTGAGTGTGTTTCCTATGCCAGCCTTGGAAAACCTGGCTGAGCAAATCCGTGAATTCAGTTATTTTTTTTAACAAACTTTTTTTTCCTTTTGCACCCTGAAGTGAGATGTGAGGTGAAGGCTACTACACATCTTATCAGGAGCTTTTGAGGCTTCTACCTTACTTCAAACTAATGACCAGTTAAAGTAATTGTGGGAGAAGAGACTGGGACACAATTTCCTTAGCCCTAGACTGTGCAAGACTATTTAAGGCTTAAGAGAGAGTTTTTGAACCAGGCAGTTTGAATAGCTAAGTAAAGATCTATGAAGAATGCTGCTTGCCATTTCCTAGACAGCAGTGTGGGTGAAATAAAAATGTCTTGTTAGAGTAAATAAATAAAGATTACAAAGGATCTTACATCAAAATGGGAGGATGTGATGAACTGTTTGTTTTTGGAGACCAAGGCAAAATCAAATCAGTCGTTTGTTTATAAGTGTTGCTTATCTTTCTGAACTGCTGGATAATGTTTTCTTTCTTATTTCAGACACATATCAGTGTTAGCTGAAACAATAAAGAAGGGAATTCATGATGCAGACTCTGAAGCCAGGATAGAGGCAAGGAAGTAAGTGGAAGGTGTCTGATTTTCCTCCCCTTCTTTGCCCCTGTTGTATGGTTAGCCAGTGGTATTGCATGCTTGAAACACAAGTCCAAGCAAGTCTTCTGACTTCAGTTGGTGGTAACTTTTCCCTTGGCTTGGGAGTGTGTGTTTCCGCAGGAGAGGCCATAGCAGGCGATCATACAGGGCTGAGTTATGTGTATTGCATCTTGTAATGGTGCTTATTTCACTTTGTTCTTGTAATATTTTTTTTTTCTATCTGGGCAGGTAAAATGCTTACTTACCTTGTTTAACAGTCTAGAGTTGAGAACTAGTAACCTCATCTTTCTTTTTGAAGTTTGAGTTGCTTGCAACTAACTGAGATTTCTGTTTAGTACACAAGCATATTATATATAAATATACTATTACTAATACCTTTTTTCTTTCTTGGCCTGTATACAAGACAGTAATGCTGGGCAGAAGTGTAAATTGGGTGAGCAGTCCTGCAGAAAGGGATCTGGGACTGCTGGCTGACAGCTGCTGATTAGAAGTCAGCCAGGAGGGCAAACCCCAGCTTGGGGTACATCAAGCACAGTATGATAGGATGTGTGGAAATGCTTTAGAACTCTGCCAGGGGAGGTTCTGACTGGACATTATGAAACATTTCTCTACCAAGAGGGTGGTCAAACATTGAAACAGGCTTCCTAGAGAGGTGGTCAATGCCCTGAACCTGTCAGAGTTTAAGGGGCATTTGGACAGTGCCCTTAACAGCAGGCTTTAACTTTTGATCAGCTCTGAATTGGTCAGGCAACTGAACGAGATGTTCCACGTAGGTCCCATCGAATTGAAATAGTCTATTCTATTGTTATTTGCTAGTGTTGAAATAAAAGTCCTTGTGCTTATACACTGCTAAATGGTACCCTAAATAAAGGTAGTATTTTATGACACTGAAACAATATCTTTGTGTTTATCTATAGGAAATTTTAATATTTACAATTAATTTTCTTCTGTTGAAGATCTTATGCATTTCCAGTGGTCTGGTCATGCTTATGGTAGTATGCTGATATACCAGGATCATGCTCTTCTGAACAGAACACTACAGGAACATTTTTCTTCAGAAAGAGGCTGCTGTAAAACATGAAATCAATGAACAATAAATTTCATCAATCTAAATGCTCTGTTATAGGCAGAGGTGTTTCACACTAGGACTACTTAAATCCTTTTGAAAAGGCAGTGTGTCCATCACTGAAAATTACAGTAGTCACTGAGACTTCACAACAGGTGACTAGTTAATCTGAATAGACAGCAAGGAGAATGGCATGAGACTTCAGAGAGCATGCTTAATTCTCTCTTCCCATGTTTATTAAATAGCAGTGTGGCTGATTGTAAGACAGAAATTTGTTTTCTTCTAGTGATGTGAGAATGTATGTGGCTTCTCTGAGGACTGGCTGTCACACACAAACAATTCTTGATTCATTTGAGCTAATGATTGTACTCTTAAACTGCCCATTAGTTGCCCCCTGAAAAGTACTGAGAGTCTTCATCTCCTTTGTACTGAGAGTGAATGGTGTTTGGCTATCAACCAGGAGATTTGGACTATAGAGGAATTCTTCCCTTATCTTAAAATGCTCTTTTATTTTTAGCATGGCACTAATTTGAAGTCCATGGGAGCACCTCTTTTCTCTTCCTTGTTATTTCTTCCCAAAAACACTGTCAACAGCCTCAACTCAGTACAGAGATATGTCTCTGCAGCATTCTAGGAGAACTGTTAAAATTAAGAAATAAAACACCTGGTGCTTTTCTGATTCAGGCCCATGCATGTGTGTTCTGCCTTTGGTCTGTTCTTGAAGTAGCTCTTGAACACCCAGTCCCAAACTAATATCAGTGTAGTGGGTCTGCAATCTTATATGTACAGTAGACAGCTGGAGGGATGAGGGTTCCTTCCATAATAAAGATTTGTTGGCTACTTGTGTTTTTACAATGAATACACCAAGTGATTCTTTCATTTGGTTTGTCTTCCGTGTAGCTGCTTGAGTGATACAATGGGTTGAAAAAAGGGAAATGTCTTAAATGTGTCACAGGGCAGTAGATGGTTGAAATGCCTGGGCTAATGAGCCCACTGATGGCAGTAGTGAAAAGGGCTCTGACTGTACCTTTGCTCCACTGCCCCCTAAAACATGTCAAGGGCTTGCTCACAGTATCGTGCCTTGTTTTCAGGTGTTACTGGGGTTTCCACAGTCACTTCAGCCGAGAGGCAGAGCATTTGTACCACACCTTGGAGTCTTCCTACCAGAAGGCCCTGCAGTCACATTTGAAGAACTCTGACAGCATCGTGTCCTTGCCACAGTCAGATCGCTCCTCCTCCAGCTCCCAGGAGAGTCTCAAGTAGGTCTTTGTGTCATTCACTGCTTCTTGATTTAAACAACTGCAGACAGACAGCTCCACTGAATTGGAGGGAGCCATCTCATAGCTTTGTCTCATCTGGTCATCATTTGGACTCTACACTTGGTTACTCCAAAATATATATTATAATTTTTTTTAACTAACGTTATATGAAAATAAAAAGCCAGCAAAACTGCTTACTGGCTTTAAAAATATAATCATTATCTTGACTCCATAAATAATTTTCTAGGAAGCTGTTTGTGCTCAGCAGATACTGTTAGTCATTCCTTTCAGGTGTGCTTAAAATAGTGCCTGGATTTAGGTTCTGCATTTCGCATTAATCCTAGAGGTATAAGTCTGCTTCTATCCATACAAGAGACAAGAAATGACTAAACTAAATTGGAGTTGTAACTACAAAGTCAATATTTAACTCTTCTGTTGAATGTATTTTAGCTAGTCTTAGAGATACAGTTAACTTAGACTCCAAATGTCTGTGATTTATGTGTAATATGATATCAAAAATTTATTGGTTTAACTTTTTAAAGCTACAAAAAGTGTTCTTAAAAATCTCTTCTTACATAAATAATATGAATATGAATTTATTTCTTAGTGCTTTTATAACAAATGTCATGGTGGTGCTGTATTTATTCTTGAACAAGCTTCGTTAATCTCTTTCTGTATATAAATAACTTCTTATTAACTTAGTTGTGTACTGAGGGAACAGAGTAGCATTGCTTCTGATGACTAAGAAATAGTACTTTTGTTTTAATAAATATTTATATTAACTTCCAGCCGTCCACTGTCTGCCAAAAGAAGTCCTACTGGAAGTACTACATCTAGAGGTGAGAACAGGAGCTGGAAAATATGCTTGGATGTTGCTGATGAAGTGTGATGGATTAGAATGAAAATATCAGACATTGTGATAAGCAAAGAAAAACTTTGATCACTGTTTAATGCTCCCTAAAATGGCAGCTTAGAATGTAAAAATTTTAAATAGTTTTGGATTTTACACCATATTTTGTGCATCAGCTGCTGATAAAATGATGCTTTTAAAGGATGTTAGTAAATCTGTAATTGCTTACACCTGAAGGGAAGCCTAAAAAGCCTTGAAAATTGTAGCCAAGGTATGTTTAGCTGTGTAATAACTCAAATAAACTGCTGCTGATGCTAAGATCTACAGCTACATAGTCTAGTGGTGCCTTCAGTTTAACAATTTTCTGTCATTAATTCTCTGTGGTTTCAGCGCTTACTGGAGGTGTCTGCACACAAGTCCTACATTGTTAAATTCCATCTCGTTGCTAATCTATTTTTACTGTCAGATGGAATATTTAGGTACAGCTTTTCTGTCCTAAGTAAATGCATACAATAATCTAAATAATACATTTTAACATAAAATATAATAGTCAAGACTTTGTTGGTAGAAGATTAGCTGCCTTCTACACCTGACCAAGATCAGGTTCTGGCTGGTTTGTCTATACACTACACCCTACTGAGACCTTTGATTCAAGGAGGTATTGTTGTGTAACCTACTTGACTGTGCACACAAATGCATGTTTGCTTGCAGCTGAGTAGTCAAGCTTCATGCTTAAGTGGGTGAGCATCAACAAGTGATGGAAACAACGATCCTCTTGAGAAGATGAGGTGTTGTGAAGGAAGTTATTAGAACCTGAACTGAAGGACCTGAAGGTCTGTTTCGGCCAGCAACTCACAAGCCAGTGATGGGTATTGTGGTTGAACTTTCCCATCTAGATTCTGTTAGAAATGTCTTTTTACTGGCCTGACAGCCTTTTTGATCTTACCATTTAGGCTTGTGTCTGATAAAGTTCTTAGAGGTAGCATCAGGTCAGCATTGATGAAATATCTTTGCATGCAGTGTGGGGAAGCCCTCACTGCCCTGATAAAGCATTCTTAGTTGAGGTATTTCAGTACCAGCAGGGAGCGTTAAAAATAGTACTTTAAACTGCTTGTCAGGCTCTTTGAAGCACACAGCTCAAAAAATTAATCTTCTTTATTCTGGATCTCCCACTCCCATCTGCAGCATCTACAGTAAGTACAAAATCTGTGTCAACACCAGGATCTCTGCAGCGATCCCGCAGTGACGTCGATGTGAATGCAGCAGCTAGTGCCAAGTCAAAAGTGACGTCTTCTGGAGCATCCACCCCCTTCAGTTCTGCTGCAGCCTTGCCCCCAGGGTCATACGCATCACTAGGTAAATCTACGTGTTCTACTCTGGCAGTCAGCTTTCTTTAGTAGAAGAAAGTGCCTCACAGTTTTGCTGGAATATTAAACTCTAACTAGAAGAACATACCTTTAAGATAGTTCCCAGCTCTCCAGGATCAGTGTGTGATCTCTTGCCCTTTGGGATTAAGGAAAAAAAATGACAACAGAACTAACTTGAAGCAACTTCATAGGTTTTGAATTGTATAATAGTCTGCATCTCTTCTTTCTGGGGAAAAGCAGAACTTATTATGGTTCTGGGACGTTGCTGAGGAGAATACTTACTACTCAGTTCCTTTTGACATGTCCCCCTGTCTCTTTTCCTTCTTCTCCTTCCCTCCTTTCCTGACACTGGTTTTCCATTAATTGTTTTATGCTTTGAGTAGTACATCTTAGGTGAGTTTGATCGCTTTCTGTTTCACAAAAGAGAGTGATACAGAAGCAAGAGGAAGTCAGCCTTACTGTTCCGCCGGACAGGATATAAGTATCTGTTCTTTATACTAACTCTTTGGATTATAGCCATGTGTCACATGATTCTCTCAGAGCATTGTATATCACCTTCAGGTACCTCAGGGTTTCTTACAACACACTTTGCATTGGATCTTTCTCTCCTGGAGATACCATTGGAGAAGTCAACGGAGGAGGAAATGCAAGGCAGTGATTGACATCATATTTGCTGAGCTTCAACTCTGTTGTGAACAGAGCTGATCATCTGAGCTAGTTTCTCATTCTGCTAGTTTCATACTAATGTAATCCCAGACTTGTCATCAACTTACTTTTACAGGAGGGAGAAAAGTCAGGAATCTGTGGTCTTGATTTAAACTATAGGTTATCTTCCTGAGTCAGTTGAGAAGTTTCTTCTCCTTAGTGTAGGGCATTTGGTCTTTAATCTGATAAAATATACTTGGTGAATTATGTAGGGATGGTTTCTATAGATTCCTTTTTGAGACCGGTCTCTTTCATATCTGAAATATTTTACCTTGGCTTAGACGTGTTGGTTGTATTCAATTCAGAAGCTGAATTCTTATTCTGATTTAAATTGTTCATACTTGTTTCAAGATGTAGATACATCGCAGTGGAAACATAATACAGAATGTGAAGTTGATCCTGTGCTTTTGGGCTTGCACGTGCAGCCATTTTTGAGTCGTGCTGTGCACTGGCTTCAGTGGCTAAACTGCCTTCAAACAGTCATGCCATGAGGAACAATGGAAGAGGGGGGAAGCACCTACTTAAAGCTAACTTGATCCTTGAAGCTGAGAGACTGAATACAGTTAGTCTTTTTCTTAAACTAGACTGTAGGAGAAAAGCAGCAAATTCACTCTAAGTGATGCAAACATGGCTGCTCCTCAAGGACCCTGCTTCCTTTTGAACTTGCAGGGATGTTTATCATCTTCACATTCCCATGAGAGAAATGGTGAGGCAAGCAATGAAAATTGAGTTTGGCAAAGGTTGGTTATTGCAGGAGGGAAAACCTGCAAGTGTTTTCTTCAGATATATCCAGGTTTGATTTGCTGCACAGTCAAACTTTTTTCATCTCTTTAATTGTATTAATTTTTTTTGCATATTTATGGAGCTAATATATAGTGCCCGCTTCTGTTGATGTTACTGATTTTTCCCTATTAACCCTCTCCTTATTTTTCTTTAATTTGCTTAAAGATGGTACTACCAGTAAACCCGAGGGTAAGCAGTCTCTCTGTGTAACCGAGGTGTGTCCACAGTCGTACTGCCCTGCCTGGTCTCTGTTCTCAAAGTGTTATCTGGTTCTCATCCATGTTCACTGGTGACCTGCATGAAGTGTTGCATGGTTGTCCTGCTCATTTTGATGCCATGGGGTATTCTTCACTTTCTCTTTGAGCTCCTCCCTGCTAATAAGCCCTAGTTTGCTTTTATGACTTGACTTCTGGTCAGAGTTGTATGTGGGTTTCTGTATTTAAAGCGCTGCTTTTGGTTGAAGGTGACCTGTGCCCAAACTGAAAAAATAAACCAAACCGAAACCAAAACCCAACAAAAAAACCCCAACACAAGGCTTGTGATTTCTTGCTCCTTGATGTGTAAAGGTTTGCTGTGTTTTTCCATCCAAAGCTCAGGTCACAACTGCCAAATGCTTTTGGGAAGAGACTGGGCAGTGAGAGAATTGAATGAGATAATCACATGGCAGAAAAATGAGGACAGTAAACAATGATCTCTAGGGAAGGAATATTTAGTCAACCTCTTTAAACCTGAGCTCTCTTTTTGTTGTTAACTGTCTGAGATGGCTTACACTGAAGACAGTTGAAGGAAAGGCACTTTTTTTACTAGAACACTGAGCCTGCTAGTTTGGGAAGGATCCCAGTCTGTTCCTCTGGCTCATTGTCAGAACTTGTTCTTTATTTCTTTTTTCTCAAGCAAAAAAAGATCACTGGGAAATCACTTTTTCTGAGGTAGACAGGAGTTGAAAACAAGAATGTTTTCTACATAGAATGAAGAAACTACATCCCCCAACGAACCCCTTTTCTTCCAATGCAAGTCTCTTTTCGAGGGATCTACTACTGTCTTGTGAGACTGTGCTCGTATCCTCGATAGCTGCTTGTATTTGGATGTGGTGGTCTTAGAAGTGCCACTGTACTGTTGTGACACATTATTTTCCTGACTACTATTGATGCATTGATTTATTATTTAGAGGGGAAGGTCTGTACCATTTCTGAATATGGTACTTAGTGTTGAGAGGTGAACTGGCTCTGCATCTCGGGCAAGTGTTTGTGCTTTGTGATCTGTCAGTGATAAGGAATATGAAGTTGGCCTAAACACCTCTATTTCTAAATCAGTCATGAATTGGATGAAAATTCTGAGTTGTTATAATACTGAGCTTTTTGGTTTTGTTAATTGTTGACCCTTTTATCTTCTTTTCATCCCAGTTCTCAAACCTTTCTATTTCTGGCCTAGCTTTGAAATGTTTAAGGTTTAATGTTAATTTATGGAATACCCTATGCAGTTCTCAGTCCTCTCTTTAGCTGTGATAGTATTTGTGTAAGCAAGTTACAACAGCTGTCCTGTGGAATACCTTTATTTTTAGCTTATTGAATGCTTTATTGCCCTAAAGCAAAAGGGTGGGGTTTTTACTTGGTTATTGTTTTCAATTCAGTTACATTTGAAGCAGATCAGATTTGGTAAAAATCTGTAATAGAAACCAGCAAGTTGCTTAAGACAAGGAAGATTGAGATGAACTTTCAAAAATGGAGTTTGCCATCCCCTTAGCGTTAAATACCGAATCTCATATTTTGTTGCTATAGGATTCTCTTTTTTTTGGACAGTGAGGATCAGGGAGAATTATAACAACACAGTACACTAATAGCCAGAGTACTTGAAGGAGTAAATCACTGTTTGAAACTCTTCATCTTTATTTTCCTTTGAGATGGCTCAGGGGAAAACAACCTTTATTCAGGGTTTAGTGTGTCCTACACTGAATGATGAAGGCTGAGAAAGGTCTTCTGCCAACTCTCTGATATTGCAAAATTTTATATTCTTGACATAAATGTAAAAATTAAGAGGGTGGGGGAAGAGAAAAACATCCTCTTGCTCTGGAAATACAGGAGGAAACAGAATATAAAGCAGAAGTGCCACATACAGCCATGCTCCTGTGGTTTGTTTGGGGTTTTTTGCAGGTCACCGGTAAGTCTTTAAGAGAAAATCCCCGTGTTTTTTTGTGTGGTTCAGCTTGACATTGAATCTGCAGTCTGGTTCCCATCATGGCTTTCTGTAGCTACAGTGTAAAAGTTCTGCACCTTCCCCTCAACCGGAGCCAGCATTGTGTGGACTTGGCAGTTCCAATCTGCTTTGCCCTCGGTTCTCCTCAGTGGTTTGGTGAGGAGCCAGGCAGCTCAAACCAGGAGTAAGATAGAGTAGCCTGTGCCAGTAACAAGAATACAAGTTGAGTTGAGTGTCAGTCCTTTGGTTTTAAGTAGTGGCATCCCAACTGGCAAATGTTGCTGAAATGTGCTTCCTTATGGAAAGGTACTGTGAGTCTGTATACCAGTGAAATCTGTGCAGGTCTTCATGCAGTACACAGTTATGCCTTGATTGCCCAGACCCTTCATGTATGGGGTCTGGGCAGTCAAAGCAATCATGATTCCCTGAACTTCATTAAGGGCTTTGCACACAGAAACCTCAAAAGAGATAAAGTCTTTATATTGATCGGTACTTCACAGCTAGTGCTGGGGAGGTAGCGCTTGTGCCATGTTTGTTATACCTGATTAAAAGGAAACCTTAGAAAAGTTTCTGCGTGTTTTATCATGAAGTGGATTTTCAAGGAATGTTTTAAAAAGGTGCATAATGCTGACTTTCAGTACAGAATAATGGTGCAGAGCATTTCTGTTATCTGGCTGCCTTTTTTCAAAGTGAGCATAAAGTCAAACCTTTCCCTAAAGGGAGAAGCATAAATGCTGGTTTGACCTGAAACTGGCAAGTTTAAAACAAAATCAGCAGTTTCTACAATCAGTGGCACAATTTTCAATAGTTTTTATTATTCACCACAAAGGCAATAAAATGTGCTTCATTATAATTTTCAGATAACTTAGGCTCAGTTGGACACCTTGAGTGCATTATCACAGGCTTTGGGAGTAACACAAGTTTAAAGAAATCACCATTCCTGATTTCTTCTCTGCCTTAAAGCTCTCCCTTGTCCTCAAGGGCAAGGCTTCTTTCAAAGTGGTGACTGACCGTGGTACTGCTCAGGTAGCAGGTTTCTTACTTCTCTTGGTCCATCCCTTTGCAAGTGCTGAGTTGCTTTGCCCGTGCTTATTTCTGTAGGGCAAAGTGGAGCAACTGTTGTTTACTAAGTCCTCTGCTTTGGAGGGAGTTCTTGTGCAAAACCTAGAGATGGCATAATCTGATGCTTTCCAGTAAGAATCAGTTCCTTCTTGGGGAAAACTGTGGTGCAGAGTCAGGTGTTACACTAATATAATGTTGGACAAGTGCTGAATATGCATGGTAACCATTCCAGTGGTAGTTGTAGAAAGTTGTTTACAGATTTATATGTAAAGCATGTTTTTAATTGATCTGTGTCTCAGATGTCCATGTGACATTTAGCAGCGATACATATAGGGGGTACTAGAGGTTCTTTCAGTAATGTTTTTCTGCAAGTGGGGCAAAAACTCAGTTCTGGGTACCCTAAATGCTTTAACCTGATCCGTGGAGAGACCATTATCATCCCAGTGCTTCCATATGTAACTTGTGTGGTTGTTGGTATCACTATTCACACACGGAATTGATTAAACTGAGTTGTGGAGCTATAACATACCATTTCTAGACTATTTGAAAGCCATTTTCTTCAGTGTAATGCACAGACTGAGTGTCACAAAGCCCATGTCTGTTCTGAGGAATGGGGATGGTGCAGTGTCCACTCAGAAGAGCTCAGAGCAATGCTGTCAGGTGAAGCCTCTTGTAAAGCACAAATGTTATCATAGAATCTTACTTCACTTGTTCCTTTTAAAAAAAAAACCAAGACAACCTTCCTGGGTTTTAACATATGTTAGACATTTCAGGGTTGATTCTGAACCATTGTTGTAAAAATGACAGTAACTTCAAGAAATAAAACCAAAACTGCCTAAAAAATCCACAAATGGTTTCTTAACACAAAGCATTTGCATGAAGTCTTTCAAAATCCTTTCTGTACCAACCAATGTGTCACGTATCAAATTTAGATCAAGGGCTCTTTTATGGAAATACTTTTATGGTTTTTGGAAACTAGTTGGGGCAGTCTTTATCTGTTCCTTTGCTGTGCTGCTGTTGTCAGGATGCAGTAATGCTTTTAAAAGCAGCAGAAAAATAATGATTATGAAATATAGATTGCTACATCTGCAGTTTGAGCTAGATATGGAGACAAACCCACTTGAAAGCAAAGAAGTTTTGGGAGGGGAGGTGTTTGCTTGAGTTTAACAACAATAGCAAAGTCTAAATAACTTACTTGATATGTTTTTTCCAGTCCTGCTTGAAATTAGTTTTTCTGTCTCGGTTAGAATGATAGAGATAAAGCCACATGCATAGTTCTATGTGCAAATAACTCTTGGGTGTAAATGCAGACTCTTGTTTGCACATGAAATTCTTAGGGAAATGTAGCAGACACATTTATATCTACATATTGCAACTACAGTATGTGCATGCTGTACTTGGTATAATATATGTGAAAATCTGTTTGCACAATGCAAGTCCAGTGCAGTGTCTGAAAGGATGAGAAAACCAGTATCAGTGTTGGCACTCTGTTCCTCCTGTGGGAGAGCAACTCCTTGTCCCACATTGTTCTCTCTGACACCCATTAGCCCAAAATCAGTGTGCAAATCTATCATTCCAAAAGGAGGCAGAATTTTGTTCCTGGGCATTTATTCATTCAGAAACTGCTGAAGTTGGTAGGAATCTGTCCACTAACTCTCAAGGGTTTCAGAATAGGACTTGAGTTCTCTGTTTCTAATCCTGCTGATAATCACATGTTAATTAAGTTTGACTCTTCAGTTTTCTTTTTTAAAGCCTCTAGAATTGTTATCAGAAGCTAATCTTGGTTTCTCTTTATAGATTTTTTTAGGCTTTGTATTTCTTAAGGTGGAATACATATTGTCCGAGTTTTCTCCTTCTTAGTCACCTACTGATGGAGACCAAAAAAAATGAATTTTTTTGTAGATGCAGAAAAATCCAGAAAATTTTGAGGATCTTAAGTGGTCTGTGCATAAGAGGAGACATCAGTATCTTCTCACCCTTTCTTGGCCCATACATATCACTAAACATGTCTTCCAGTAATGTCTGCTGTTCTGTGTAAAAGTGAATTTCAGCTTGAGTTACCCCCCAGGACTTCCTGTAATGCCAAGGCCTCCTGTTGGCGTTCTGGAAGGATGTAAGTGAATTCCATTACTGGTTCCTAAGACTGGTCAGGTTTAACTTCTTGTCTTACTACGATGCCCTCCTGATGTGAGAAATGAGGGGAAGTCTTGAGGCTTCTGACAAGAGTGTGACATCTGTCTGCCTCCTTCCCTAAGCAATTCTTCCTCAAAGCCCATGATGGGGTTCGGGGTCCATGCCTTGTTAACGAGTCACAGGGTGGCTCTGCTCATCTGTGTGTAGCTATGTTGTGCCAAACTTGCACGGGATGGGAGTGAGCCAGCAGAAAGCTCTAGGGCTACCTCTGGTTGTGTATCAGGCTGACTGTTTGTAAGAGGCAAGACTGTACTAGAGTAGAGGAGAACTGCAGCCTTGCTGGTGGTAAGACCTCAGCAGCCAGTTTGGTGACTGCTGGACCCATGTGGACGTGCTCAGAGCTTGTTTAGTTAAGCCGGTGATTAAAAAGTTTTGTTTGTGTTTTCTGAGTTTATGCTAATGATTTCTTCTGTGTCTCGTTTATAAGCAGTTGTTTGAATGTACATGCCTGTATTTTGCCTACTGAGCTGTTTTAAAACTAGGTGCTGGTGAAGAGGTTTGAAGTAGAGCTGTCTTGTAGGCTTTTTCCCTTGCAGACAAGTTTAGCCTTTCTTCTCAAAGTTAAGCATCTCCTTGTCTCTTTGTGTCTAGCAGAAACTTGCAGACCATGTTATGAATATTTTGAGAGCTCACAGAAGAACGTAGCTCCCAATTTTTCAGCCTGGGCTGCTTGCCATTGTCTTGTCCTGCATGTGTACCTTATGTGAAGTTGGGTTTTTTTGGGTGGGAAATGTGTGTCTCCCTGTTCATATTTCTCTGTATGCTTATGGTAGAGACAGAGGGCAGGAGATGAATATCTGTAACCAGTGGGTGCAGTTGTCTAGACTCTTCCCTTACCTGATATGGGTTTTTTCTCTTTTATTATTGTGCCTGAAACTTGAAATCATCCTCTGAATGCAGGATAGCACTGGCATGAGTCCTGAGAAACAACTTCAGATTTGGCTGGGAACGGACGTGTTGAAAAGTACTGATGGAGGCTTTCTTTGTGTTACTCTTAATTATCATTTCTTTCCCATTAACTAGAGACAGATAATTGAAGCTTAGCACTGGAAAGAATGTTCTGTAGGAAACGGCCCTGCCCCAGGAAGGGGGTGAACTGATGACCCTGTAATCTTTCCTAGCTCAAATGTCTGTGGCTTTTTCATGAGGAAAGGACCGAAAAAGGACCAAGAACACTTTATACCCTTTCTCTGCTTAAATAAAGAGAAGGCACACAGAATCATTTTTCCACAACATTGATTGTGTTAAATGGGACTCTCCATTACAAGTCAAGTTACACTGATCTCTGGATAAATATGAGGGATCTGTAAACAGGGAAAATTCAATGAGCCTGAAATAAAAGCATGGTCAGACTGCATTGACAGAGTGTCACAGGAGTGCATGCCATCCTGTGCAGGGGGAGCAGGATATAAAGCACCAAACACCTAGCTGGAAATCCCAGTGATGGAATTTGGGAGGGCATCTGTCACACCTGTCTCTGAAAGTGTGATCACCTTCTCAGAAAGTAATAATTTGATATAGGAAGCTGCACTGAGGAGGTTGACATTTTTTGTTGTTGATCCTTTGTAAAGAAGCTACTATAGAACAGAAACAAAGGCTATAGAGAGGTAATATTTTTTAATTAAACTGGCTGATAGCATTACCGAGAGCAAAGAAGTTTTTGGACTCATGGACTGTGGCTGTTTCCATTCCCTCCCCTGCGTCTCAGCCAGCCCAATAAAAGGTGTTACCTCTTCTTATAAAATTCTTTTGTATACCCTGGGTAATTGTGTGTAGAGTGTGTTAGACACTGCTACTGCCTTTTATTAACAGTGTGATTGTCTTTGCATTCCTCCAGGTCGGATCCGTACGAGGAGACAGAGCTCTGGCAGTGCCACAAGTGTCACCTCGACGCCTGCTGATACTCGAGGCCGCAGCCGGGCTAAAGTAGTTTCCCAGTCCCAGCGTAAGAATTGTTTTATTCCTGGGGGAGCAGAACAAACAGTTATTAATACGTTTCTCTTGAACTGCAGTAGCGTCAGCTGAGAATTGGGCTCACTTCTGATAATAGTGTTTGGACATGTAAAAAAATGAATCCCCATGTAGGCAGTGTGTGCTCCTGCTGACAGAGAGGGCCCCAAATCCAAGTGCTAAGTTGCTACCATTATTTACTGGTTGTGCAGCAGAATCTCATGTCGCTGTCATCTGTAGAACTAAATAGCTGGCACTGAGTCCTGCTGAGACACCCCCTGTGGCTGTAGCTGACTGCTGTCCTGGGGTCTTGCTCTGCCAAGCTTCTCCTGCTTATGTGACTCTATTTCTGTATGTGTGACACGTGAGCTGTCTAAAATTAATGGGATCTGGCATCAGTTTAAAATAGGACATTATCTATTTTGTGTAGATATGGGTAAAAGGGTTCTGCTTTGATTCACATGACACATCTGCGCTCTCTGGCTTCCTGGCAAGGCATGGCTTTCCCCTAGGAGCCACACATATGGTGCTGCTGCATGTTTGTCATGTGCATCTAAGGAGAATTTTGTCACTCAAACTTTAAAAGGAATTGAGGATAGGAAGAAGGCTAGTCCCTGTTTTGAGGACTTTCAGCCTTGTGGGTAAGAGGAGATGGGGTTTGTGGAAGGATCTGTCTGTTCTGAGGACTTGTCTTGCTTTGTACCCTTATTTAAAAGCCCTTCTCTGTTCATTCTCTCATTGCTTTGCTCTGTCATGCTGGAGAGGTGAAGAAGCAGTTTGTAGCCTTGTGTTAAGCTGAGAGAGCTGAAGAAAGTAGTAGTATGTTGAGAATAGGGCCAAATGAAAATCTTTACATTGGGGTCTCGAAGATATATTTGGGCTTAGGTATGCTGATATAAATTGATTGCTTAAGTTTTGAACCTAAAACTGATCTAAATCCAGAAATTACCCCTTTTTTCCTAAACTTAGTTTGGTGAAAAATGGTCAGACCGCATGAGACAAGTCTCAGAAGTATTTAAAGAATAGTTAAATATCCGAAGGTTTCAGATATTATGGACTTACTTTTTTTTTTATAGAATACCTTATGAAAATTTAGGATGGTCATATCTGAACTTGCTGCCTTGGTCTAGTTTGCTGAATCCCATTTCCAGCCTAGCCCAATCAGATGTGTTCTTTATCCTTAAGCCAAGTTGCTTGAAATAATTTATGAATTCAAATATAAGTCACAGGACCAAATTCTCCATGCCCACACAGTGGGTAACGATGCTGAAATTTTTCAGACTGGGCTGGGTTGTAATTTAGAGCAGAACTTGAGTCTCAGTGTCTTGGTTGACATTTTACTAAGTAGCTGATCAACCTTGGGAAATTTAGTTGCATCTGCACATTAACTCACTGCATTCTGCAGAGGCTTTAGGAGTGACATGTTTGTAAATAAATCTGTCTGTATTGTGTATAGCATAAACCGCATGCTGAACGCAGTATTGTCTTGCTGTCTTTTAATCCACTTTTTGCCTGTCCCTTGGTCTGCCCTCATAATCAAGGATCGAGATCAGCTAATCCTGCTGGTGGTAAGAAATGTTTTCCCTTTCTTGCTTTCTCATGTTATTTCCTTCACATTTTTTAACTGCTAAGCTTTTAGTGTCCCTCATTCTCTCCTAACCGTGAGACTTAAAAAGCATTTTCTTAAAGTCATAAGTCAAAATGTGTATGGCAGGTGACTTTGCTTTCTCCCAGTAATCAAACATGCTAAGCATATGTTCTGCACATTGAAGCACTTTCACTGCTGCAGCTTAAACCCCAGGTGCTAAATTCTTTTTCCAGTTACTTCAGTGCAACCCTGCTGACATCAGTGAGATCGCAGCAGTGTACCTGAGAAGAGTCTTGGTTTTAGGTTGTGGTGCTCTGTGTAAGACTGGCATCTGTCACTTTGGGGGTGGGGAGAATGGAGCCAGCACCACACACAGTATTGGAGTATATTTAATTGATTCAGAATGGCTTTGATTGAGAAATTGGAGGGGACGAGTAAGTGTATAATACATGTGTTATGGCATTGTCCATGAGACTAATAGAATTGCATATCTTCTTAAATTAAGAAAGGAGAACAGTCTTTAACTCTTGCTAGTACTAATAGTATCTGGAAATGAAATTTTTGTGAGATGCATAGGTACTTTTCAGAGAGAAACCAACATGAGTATCAATTCAAAATGTGAGCTTGCCTGAGTATGTTCTTGCAACCTTTTCAAGTATACTTTTCCTGGATGTTTTAGCAAATAAATTGAATGTCAGGAATGGTAATGGCAACAGCAGATTTTCAGGGACTCTATATACCTGAAGAAGCAAAAAAAAAAATAAAAATAGTCTTGAATCTATTACTCTTAGAGTATTACTTCTTTATGATTACCTTTAAGCTAGCATTACTTAATTTTCAAACAACTTAGCAAATGAAGACCCAGAGGGGAAAAAAAGAAATTATCAGTCATCTCACTGAATTAGAAAGCAAAAGTGTTTCAGGTAGAGATATCTACTGCAGCTGGAATGTAAATATGTAAATTAATCTTGGTTAGTAGACTCTCTTGCAGACAACAAGGCTTAGAAGAAATGTAAACTTGCTATGGACTATTCAAACAGAGAAGAAAAGATAAAACAGGCCAACTATTTGACTTGCTAAAAATTTTCTTCATCTGAAAAATTAATAGCTTAGATTTAACCAACCAGACCTAAGTAAGCCATCATCTCTACAAATGTGACAGGCTCACGTGGTTTACCCTTATTGTGCTGATCTCTTCAGATGTGATGGGGTTTTTATATTGGTTGGATTTTGTTTGTTTTTTTTTTTTTTTATTTTCCTTCACTGAATTATTGTAGGAAAGTAATGCCACCACCGCAGTGTAGAATGAAGATGCCTGAGCTCCTTTGCAGCAGGTGACCTGTGCCAGAAGCCAGCAGCTGCAGCACAGCTCTCCACACAGGCTCGTTGGTGTTGCTTTGTGAGGAGTAGAAGCAGCCTGTGAATTCCGTATTGCTGCAACAGGGCTGTCCTGGCACCTCCACAAGCTCTCATAAAGCCAACTGGGGTGTTCAAATGCAGCAATGTCTGGGCTTGATCCCCAGTGCGAAGCACAGCTCATAGAGGCAGGGTTGCTGATGTCCGTGTTTATTGTCCATGGGCTTTCCTCGGTCTTCCTTGCAAGCCCATAGGGAACACTCCCTTTAGTTTGTTGAGTGATTTGGATCAAATTTTTATATAGAGGTGATTGTGTTCCAGTTTTGCCGTCAGTGTGCTTAAAATCTTGGGGGGTTTTAATTGTTTTGCCCTTATTTCTGGTTCTCTTCTAGCTGGTAGCCGGTCTAGTTCTCCGGGTAAGCTCTTAGGAAGCTCCTATGGTGGCCTGAGCGGCGGAACATCCAGAGTCCAACCAGTGCCATCATCTTCAGAGAAGCGCAGCAAGATTCCTCGGAGCCAGGGATGCAGTCGAGAGACGAGTCCCAACAGAATAGGACTAGGTAAGAACAGTCACTGCAGTGACATGCTGACCAGCATGCTTGAAGGAGGGTCCTTCCTGTTGACTAGTAAACTGTTTATGTTACTGTTATTCTTCTGAATTTTTCATCTGACAAGTTAATGTGATTGTGGTTTATTGGAGAGTAATTTTAATTTTCCAGGTTGAGGTATACTTTCAAAGTAAGCCTAAAGATGTCATGATGTATCTTCTGTTTGAAATTCAACGTGAGTGATGTTATTAGATCAGACGGCAAAAACAGTTGTCGTGAATAACCATCACAGCAGAAAGACCTCATTTGGTATCAACGTCTCAGTCCTAAAATGAGTTGAGCAATCTTTACAGTCAGTTGGAATCAAAGGCAAAAAGCACCTTCTTGGATTATCTGAGAAGTTTTGCAGCTTAAATGGTTTGCTTCTCTCATCCTTAATATCTTGGAGCCACATTCTTAGACGATGTTTTAGACTTCTGCTTTAATTGTTCTGCTTTCAATATTCTTGTCTCAGTGACTGTTATGTAAATATTCTGTAATAGTTTCAATTTTCAAATTTTATCAGCAGATTCATTTTTTTTAGGTCAGGTGAGTAAACATCATATATAAAACTTCCATGTATCTGAAGTGAGGTGAAAAGGTATTCAATGTGCTGTCTGAACATTTTCATTTTTTAATAGAAATTGTTTTATAAGTTTGAAACTAATGTAAAAGAAGAACACTTTAAATGATACTGATGCTAAATTATTTTTATCTCCAAAGACTTTTCTAGTAAGTTGAAATTGATTGAAATTAAAGCCTTACTGTTGGCAGTTAAATTTATAACTGTTGTCTTAGCAAATGTATTTTACATTTAGGCTACCTTTTTATTTAGAGTAGATTGTTAATAGAGAAATATCTTATTCATTCTTCTAGTATACTGAAATAATTTTAAAGCACCTCAGTGCATGTGCCATTATGATTCATAAAAAATACTTCATGTTCATTGTGATTGCTTTTCCAAATTCAGTGTTCTTCTCATGTCTGATCTATTTTATTGCCTCTGTATGAATTCATTGTGCTTTTCTGTTCGCTGCTTTTAAAATGTGAAGTGCCTCCCAAATACTGGAGATAATTGTTCTGCTATCACTCTGTAGGAGAGCGGTGGTTTTTAGGAGGAAGCAAAGAATGATGGATAGTACCATCACCCATGCTTAAGCTGATCATCACGTTTATGTGGTTTGATTTGAAACAGTCTTGAGCATCTGAAGGGAAATTGCCTTGTGTAAAAATCCTCACTCTTGGGTTGCCTGCTTTCAGGTACATTACGGAGCCTTGAATTCTTTTGAAAGAGTAATTTGTATCTCATTTCTCTGGTGTGCTCCCTGAGAAGACAGTCAGTGCTTGTTCTTTGAGAGTGGGAGAGAGCTCTGACATGTATCAAATGTGTGGCTTACACCTGCCCTCCCTGGGTTGATGGCCACAGCCTGTTCTTTTTGGGCTGTTAGGGGAACAGGCGTGTCTGACACTCATGTTGCCTTTACTGCTCAGTTGCAGAAATTCTGTATTTTTATTGAATCTTGAAAATGGTGATATTGGCTTGGATAGCTTCTGCGCTGTCAGCTATATATCATTATTCCATTGTATTTATTACTTTATAGCATAGTAGCTAACAGTATTTTATGCTTTCTTATTATGTTGCTTCAGTCTCTCTATTTTGTTGATATTTTATTTTGTTTGTTCATTTCATTAAATAGACTCCCACTCACCTTGGTTTTCAATACAGGAACCATCCACTGGAGTTTTTCAGGCCCTCCTGGGGCAGTAGCAAGCTAATAGAGCCTTTCCATGTGGATGCCTGTTAACATCAGTAAATTGATGCTAGCTTAGATTTCCATGATGACCACAGGTATCCATGAATAATGTTCCTTCTGTGTGCTGGAAACCTTGAAGAAGTTGTTTTCAAAGAGGCACATTTGGTGTGCCAAGGTCCTGCATGGTCACCTGTATAGCCCTGCTTATGACACTTCAGTTTTAAGCTTACCTTTGCTATCTCCTCAGTGAGTTTTACTAGTGGTGATAGTTGGGGAAGGAGGAGTATAGTCCACTTAATCTTGAGCTTTTCTTTGGGTCCCTTGAAGGAGATAGTCTCCTCAAAAAGGCGATGTCCATTTCCCATGGATTGAAAGTTATCTGCCTGAAGTTAATTCTGTTGGATGCTCAGCAGATCATGTGGCACAGCTGGATCTGAAAGGAGTGAGAGATTCAAGTTTGTCGTTCTCCAAAAAGTGGAACAGGCACAGCTGGCTATCAGTTTCCTGCAACATCACTCTCTCTGGTTATGCTATGAGCATTTATTGGAAAGCTGAAGGCAGTTCTTGACTTGCTTCTACAGGGTGTATCCCACTGCAGAGCTTTCCTTTGGCTGTTTTGGCAGCATTTCAGACTTTAAAATGCTGGTATTGATTTAAAGAAAGCCTCTGCTGATTTTCAGTCTCCACTTAAGAATCATTAAAATTCACACCCTGATGAAATACAAGTTTCTTCCAAGTGGTAGATTGGTAAACAGGGGCAGTATCATGTTCTGCTAGTGATATTTACATTTGTTGTGTTCCACTGGTGTGTTTTAGTAATGATGTGAGCCATGTCTAAGTGCTGTGACTTTCCAGATGAAGTTGGTAAAACTTAGATGTACAGTACACATTAGAAAGTTTGAATATTATTAAAAACAACGCAGCCTTGTCCTGTCCTAGGCTCTCTCACAGCAGAGCTGGCTGTGGGCACACTGTCTGCTTTCATTCTGATTACTCCTTTTAATCCATTTTGCTACTCATTTACTTGATTTCTGTCCAACTTTTGGGGGTTGAGAATTCTCAAATTGAGACTTGTGTCTGTCGTCTCTGCTGCCTGCAGTACAGAGACAGGCTGTCACAGTATGAGAGACTTCTCTAAATTACAACACTGCTGGCAGTGTCTAAAGGAAATACTCTGAGCAGCTGATACACAACCTTCTCTACACAGCACAGTATTAAAAATGTGAGGCAGGTGTCTGGGAGTCCACAACAGACTCATCTTTCAGTTCTTTTCTATCCATTCTTTTTTTCCTTTCTTCTGTGTTTGTATCCAGTAACATGCAACCCTTTTGTTTGACCACTACTCATGAAGTAACCAGTGTTTGGTTTAGGGTGCTCTGTTTGTACAGTCAGTATTGTGCTACATGTGTAGCATTGTCCTACTAGTCTGTTCTCATGCAGTTAGAGCACATTTTCTTCATACTTCATGCTGCTGCTGTTAGCTGTTATGGAAGGAGAATGTATTGTGTGCATCCATTAATTTTTTTAATCATTCACATCTCTCCCTCTCTTAAGAGCCTTTACAGTTTTTAGTAGGGTTGTATTATAGAAATGGCTGGCAGATCTTCTCTGCTTAAGAGAAATGACTGCTTGTGCAAACTTGATGTGAAGGCTGCCATTATTTACATCTAAGCATGAGACCCAAGAATGAGAAATTTTCTTCTATAGAGTCTGCAATTTCAAGCAAGTATTGTGTGTAAGACTTTAGTGTGTTACTTTTACGTGTAGTTTACCCGTCAGCTTTTTTCCTTGTACATCTGAGGTGAGATTATTGTACTCATGGACCCTAGTTTCATCCAGTTCTTATAATTTAGTCTGTCTTATTTAAGACCATTTAGCTCACTCAGAACCATTAGACATTATGGTGATCTAATCATCTTGGTTAATAGCTCATCTTGTATTGTCTGACATCAAAGGTCAACCATCAGAACCATTAATTCAGCTGAGAGATATGAACTGGGTTTTGCAAAACTGGAAGGGATTTGACAAACCAAGAATCTGGCAGAAGTTTCTATTTGAATTAAAAAACCCAAATATGAAGGTTTCTATTTTGTTCTGTACTGTTTTGCTTGAAGGATACTAACACACCCAATGTATATGAGACCACAGAAACACTGTAGAGGAACTTCATTAGCTTGAGTCTAGGCGTATAAGTTCTCTGTAAAAACCAACATTTATAAGAATATATATATATATTCTGAAGCATGCAAATGGCATTTTTTAAATAAAAACAGGGATACTGTCAAATTATTAGCGTGTTCATATTACGCATATGTACCTCTGCTGTGTTGTCATCAAAGCTGGCAGATTAGGATTTACTTTGTGCATGAGAAAATTCTTTAATGGCTTTTCTTGAACACTTAAAATATGCTACTGCCTTTTCAAAACAGCAAAGGAAATCTCTCTTGTCATTAAATTCTTCAGGGTAAACTCCTGAAAATTAACCGCTGTTCTTTTCCCTAAGAAAATATTGTGTTCTTTATCAGGTATAAAGCTTACTAAATACCTTTCTGCAAACATCTTTCAAACATGTAGGATTTCAAACATCTGCAAACATAAAGAGTTTTGTCAAAGTAAAGAGTATAGTTTAAAGCTCCCCTTCAGTGTGCATACATCTTGATCTATGTGCATGTAAAACTATAAATATAAGCTTTTAGAAAATGCCTGAGGAGCAAGAAGTTAGCTTCTGTTAAATATCTGAAGCTCTGCTACTGCTCTCTTCAAATTCAAATCACTTTTTAACCTGTCTTTCAGGTATTCAGGTTCTAAATGCTTTTTCCCAGTACCTTTCATTAGACAAAGATATTTCTGCAAGTCTGTACAGTACACCTTTTTTTTCCTTAGGATATTTGTTCATGACAAAATTATCCTTGTGAAAGGCAAATCTATGTAGAAATAGCATATAGGTATTATGATTACTTAAAAAAATTTTCATCTACTATTTTGTTCCAGAAGGATGTTTATCTTAATAATTAAGGAAGAAATATTCCAGAAGGGTTTCTTTCAGCCTCATCTGCTTTGCAACAGTAGAGCTCCCCTAAATGATTGAAGATTGCTGCTCTACTTGAATAACAAAACTTGGATTGCTTAAGACAAAAACAGACTGTCAGCCAGACATTAATGCTCCTCAAATTTCACATCACAAACACCGCTCAGCATGTGAGGTAGTTGGTTTGTAAAGAGCCTGAGCAGGCTGCTGCAGATTGTAATTACTAATGTAATAATTACCGTAACTAACAGAAATGTGACTTGACTTTGAGCTTTCTGTCCTCATTAAACTTGTTCACCTTCTCTGAAACTCTCCATGCTGCATGCTAGCACGGAGCAGTCGTATCCCCCGACCCAGCATGAGTCAGGGGTGCAGTCGTGATACCAGCCGTGAGAGCAGTCGAGATACAAGCCCTGCTCGGGGCTTTCCTCCACTTGGTGAGTACATGTAGGCATTGGAGCTTTAAGGGTCAATATTCTTTTGCCTTTTTCCCTTGTTGTGGTTGCCCTTTCAAGACACTGCTAGGTGGAATGAGCTCTTTCCTGTCCTCTGGATTCCTCACACTCCCCCTTTCCAACCCTGTTTTTTCCCCCTCTGTTTTCTTCTGCATGCTTCAATTCTGGTTTTAAATGTTTCACCGTTAGCAGGGAAATAGTTTAGTTTCATAAAATCAGCTTGTACGGGGCTGCTGTGCTTCGCTTTACAACACTGATGAAAATCTATGGGAGGGCAAACCTGGATCTTCTAGGTCACAGTGAAATAGTTGGTAGCATCGTAGTCTGTTCTTGAGTGACTCTAATTATTCACAATCTGACTTTCTTACAGCTAGATACAGTTACAGTATATAATTTCTATATTAAATCCTCAAATGGAGATAGCAGCTCTCTTTTTGTAGAGGTTTTACAGAACATTGTTAATCATCAGTTTAGTTGCACATGCCATTTTAGTAGGAAACTTTATCAAGCAGCTTAAAATTGTGGAAAGACTGAGGTTTTAAAGGAGCATCGTTGAAGTGCAGCTTAAGTGTACAGTACAAATAGAGAATCTCATTAGTTACCACATGCAGAAGTTTTTCTGCACAAATGCTGAATACAGCAAGACAGTTAATGTTTCTGATCAAATACCATGTCATATATTCAACCAAAAACATTACTTGTATCAAAGACCTGTCATCTCAGACATGAAATATGGTTGATCTCCAGGCCCTCTTTGTTTATATAGTAATTTAACGAAGAATGGTGTTACAGGATCTATTTTGCACATAGTGACAAAATGAAGAATACGATACAGTGTGTAAGTGGAACACAGCACAAGTTAATTTTGGAGAGGCTTCTGGGTTCAAAGACTTCATTATATTGAGTTTTAAAATAATCTATTTTCTTTATCTCTAATATCAATTTTTGGTGAAAAATGGGAGGAGTTCAACTTTGCATTCATAACTTGGTTCATAGCTCTTTAAGATAAATGGATGAACTTTTTTTTGATTGAATGAAGTTGATTTGATACTAGAGCTATAAAAAGACAGTTGATACACAACTGTAACTCAGTTTTATAGTTAACTTGCCTAGCTTCAAGTTTGGATGAGCCTTTTTTCCTCCAGCCAAAATGTATAAGCAGGCTGGATTTCAGGGTAACTCATTAGTGTTCTGTGTCACTGTGCTGTGGTTTTTTATTTTATTGAAAATATAGTAGTTGAAATATTATCTTGAGCCCTTGTTCTGAAAAATAAATGCAGTGTACCAGAATCAGGGTTGGTTGAGCTTTGTATGCCTTCACCAGTTCTGAGTCTGACTCCTACACTGACTATAAAATTTTAGTTACAGATGTGTGTTACACTGTTTGTTACATTTATTGTGGGAAGAGGGTCATCTCATTTTAACTCACATTTTTTAATTACCTGAAGATTAATGCATTTCTAGAAATATATTGTTATTGGGTCATAAAGGTTACATGGGGAGGAAATACCGATGTAACAACAGTAAATCAATGTAGTTGTTATCCTATTGCCTTTTCCTTGTATTTTCATTGAAATGATTTGAACTTGAACATATTCATGAACTTGTTAATTGTGTTGTGGATAATTCATGTCAGAGAAATTTATATCTGTCAGTTTAAGCCAAAACAATATGGTTCTATTACAGTATTTTTAGAACCCAGTTAATCTTGCAATAATGCAAAGATAATATAATCCTACTGTGCGTGGTCTGGTTTTGCTTATAAAGATTAACTTGTATATTCGTGAATTATACTTTAAGTAGCTATATGTATAGACAGGATTCTTGCATTTGAGAGGTATTATGGTCAGTGTCAAGCTCAACATCCTGACCTTGCGAATTGCCCTTGTTTTTGGGCTGCTGTGTAGGTTTGCATGTCTGTGCATCAAGAGTCTTGCTTCCTATGTTAGTAAATACCAGTTAAGAGTCAGTCTATGCTCAACCTGTTTGCAGAGATGTGGGTTTTTTTGGTTTGGTTTTTTTTTTTTTTTTTTTTGTTATTCTTGTTTCTCCATGAGCCCTAATCTTGCAGTGGCATCCACAGGGGCACAGTGAATGACTTGGGAGAAAGCAATTGCATGCTGAGAACCTTAATTGTGAGGTTCAGTCCATAATCCTGCACTGACCCTGCAAATCTTTCATGAGTTTACTTATGATGTCAGTGGGATTGTTCTCTTGAATAAATGCATGTGTTCTCCATAGTCAAAGACCACATTGCATATTCTGTATAGCTTTTAGTGAAGCTTTCACAGTTGAAAAAACTACAAATTTTATTTTTCCCATTTTGCTGATTTCTACTTTGTAATATTAGTATTTGTGTTTATGAATTCCTTGCCTTAGAAAGAAGACTTAGAGTTTTTCTTCTGCACGTGTATGTACATAATTGACAAAGCCTGTTTGTATTAGAAGGTGATTTTGGTTTATTTTTTCAGTTTCTTGACAGTACTAGTTATGATGTTAAAGCAACAAGGCCTTCAGTGAGTCTGTGGTGATGAATTGCTCAAATGAACAATCAGTTTCTTGGGTCAGTTGCTTTGAGCTGGTGAGCATGTCATTGCTAGACATAGGGAAAACTTCCTTAGAAAAACTGAATTTATGTAATTTGGAAATGACCAGGCCAGTTTTGCATTTGCTTTCATTAAGAACTCATTTGTATGCAGAATCCAAGAACTGAAAACCTCTCCAAAGGCGTTTTGTGACTGATGTGCTGCTAACAACTGGGAATTGAAGTGGGAGCTATATTTGGTTTAGGCTCCTCTGCTACTGCGTGTGCTCCATTGCTATTAACAATTTGTATACATGTGTAATTCTAGATAGGTTTGCAATGTGCATATTCTCGTTATCTGTGCATGTTCATACTGAGGTTCAAGAAACATGTATACAAAATTTGTTAAAAGCAAGACACCTTTGGCAGTAGCAACACCTGCAATATGTGTGTACGTGTGTTTTCTTGGAAAAGAAACCCAACCCCAGGACTGATACACAGTGGTTGGTGACCTCCCTGTATGACTCTTTCTACTTATGTGGTTATGCCTTCTCTTTGTTAACGTTTCTTTATGCATAGGCTAGAATGTTGTAGAAAAATACCTGCAAGCACAATTCGTAACCATTCATCATGGCTTCACTTTGGGGTTTAGATCAGACACATCTAAATCCTTCTCTGTAGTTATGTGCTCCACGTTCTCGTTGATGGCCGTCTTCCAGGCCTGTGGGTCTGGAACGTGACTGATGTGCACTGGGGGGAATTTGCTGAGCTGCACCCAGTTTGGGACTGTCACAAATGAGTTGTGTCATGCATTGTGTTTATGGTCACGAGGGGAAGGGGGGGAAGCTACAGACGGAGGCGTTGCTGTGGGGCTTGCACTGTATCTGTTATGCATTCATATACAGCCTCATTTCCCCGTCACTATGAAACACCTTTACCGGTAGTGGTCACACGCATCCCCTCTGGATTGTGGCATTTTCTGTCTCGGGTTCAATGTGTGTTAATCCTGTGGGTGTTGCCATTCCTTCTACTTGCAGCTTCTCGACGTCATTCCAGGTCCACTAGTGCTCTCTCCACTGCTGATTCTGTTGGGCAGTCAGGTGAACAAGCGCTAACTGCATGAATCCGCTTCTTATACGTAGTCTTGTTTTACACCATCTTAACATTTGCCATCGTATGCATCAGCCAGCACTTGGCATGTGCTTCTCACCGCTGCGGGGCTTTCTGTTCTGGTTTTGTTCAACGTGGCTTTTTGTTTTGAATTTCATTTATTGGATGTTTTTAATTTTATGTATTTTAGGAGCAATGTGAACAGTGTTTAAACAAAGGGTGATCCAGGGCTTACTTAATTTTCCTGTAAATTGGCTCAGTTGTGCAGCATGGGCCTAGAATTGGATCCCATCCCCCAAATGGGTTTCATCCCATTTATTATTAAATATTCTGGACTACTGTTTCTGTTAATGAAAGTTCTTTGGGATCCTCTCCAAAATACACAAGAGCAACAAAAATTAAGCACCTGAGGAGCTTTCAGAATCAACTTTGAAGTATAACACATGCTGATCTGCCCTTCCTATAATTCTGAAGGCCTTGTCCAAAGTACATGGAAGTTGTTGAAAAAACCCCAAAATTATTCCCTTTTTACTGGGCTTTGCATCAGGCAACTGATGCTCACATATAATGAGAAAAATCTGCAGTTGCTTCTTTCTCACTTCTGTGCTGGATTCTTATGGAGAACCTATAACTCCCTTTGAAATCAGGATATTTCACTGGGAGTCTTAAAAAGAGTTGAACAAGTGCTGCTGGCTTTGGGACAATAGAGACTTAATTATGGGGACAAAGGTGATGTAGAAAATGAGGCCTTCAATGTTTTCTTGGAGGCTAAAATTGCATAAGGAACTTGTGATACTGAAAGTTATTTAATTATACCCCTTCAGGAAGGGAGTGAAAAATACTCTGTTTCTCATGAGTCTAGTTAAATGGCTGTCACTTAATTAAAGCTCTCAAAACATTTCCATTATCAGGTTACTCAACAGACATGATGCAAACTGATTTAACTGGCATTTTTCAAATAACAATTTGAATTTGTATTTAACCAAAGTAATTTAAAATATTTAAAATAGCTTGATTGTAATACAGATTTAAGCTTTGTTTGCATTCAGCTTCCTGTGATAGTCACTTCATGCTTGGCTCCGGTGGTTTGGTACAAAGAATAATCAAATTTTTTATGGTTACCTGTGTCCTACAGAAGGCCAAAATCTTCTGAAAAATGACAAAAAAGGGTCAAAAGTGGTGATTGCAAATTTTCACCAAGTTTGGAACAAGTATAATGAATCTAGCCAGGGAGACAAAGGAATGTGGCCAGAGCATATTCTGCTTATTTCTCGCCCAGTAACGTTGGGCTTGCCTGTACTTGTTATTCCTGGAGCCAGATGTGTTCCCAGCCCCATGTTAGAGATATGCTGAGATCTCTCCTAAGGTCTTACTTCTCCACTCAGATATGGCAACAACGTCTTGGGGAGAAACCCAGAGTAACTTGGGTGTTATGAATTTAAAGATCACTGAAAAAATTAGTTCAGAAAATTCCTGATAGCCATGGAGATAGATAGAAGCCAGCATGCCACACTGCACTTAACGTGTAAGAAAAGCTCAATTTTTTTTTTCTTTATGCTGGGTATTTAAACTGATCTACAATTGAATTACTTTGTCATTTTGTTCTTCATTTAATAAAAAAGCCAAAATAACTATCTACCCTTTTCTAATGTAATACTAAATTTATGTGAAAATAAATGACTGGTATTTTTGATGCTGTGTAATTTCAAAAGCTAAAACCAAATTCTGATCTCAGTAACACTTGAGCAATGTCATTGAGTTGGGTTTAAATATAAAACTGAGTTCAAGACTTCTCTCAACATTTACAGCCCTCGTATTGTACCAGATATTATGTGCACTTAGGAAAATCCTTGTCTTCTGTACATCTTTGTAGTGTATATCTCTGTAGTTGTGACTTTAGTTTCAATCAGACCTAACACATTGTTGTCTCCTCTGTGCTTCTGTTAAGAGTGCACAGATCTTTCTATTTTAGGGATAAAGCACTATTTCACCTAAATATTTGAAGTGATTCTTCAACTCAAGTGCATTAAAAAAGGGGATAGTAATAACACATACAACTTTTATTTCTTTGTGAAATGTCATGATTTGATTACTTTTTTGGCAGTAGTTCTAAGAAATTTGTTTATTTTTTTTCCCTTGTAATGTGTTTTGTAGAAAATGTGCTTTTGTTGTAAATCAGAAATGTCTTGTCTGGGTACATAACTCTAGGAAACAGTAAATTTTGGTAGATAACACTTCTGTTTGAAATAAATACTAGTCTGCAGGGGTTCTTTTTTCTTCTCCAAATACTTTGGATATAAAATTTTTCCCTGTTTCCTTTCAGTAGCTTAATCTCTGATACATTCGAATAAAGCTTTGGAATTAGGACAGTAGACTGGCAAACTTCAATCTCTGATTTAAATTATGCATGTCAGTGTGAGCTAATTCCTTAAAAGATATTTCAGTGCAGAAGGTTCTTAAAGAAGAAAGAAATGAAATTTTGTGATAAGCGCAGTATTTTCCAAAAAAATACATTAAGCTGCTGAATACCACATTTGACCTCAGTTTTCTGTAAATCCACAATATAGCTGGGCAATTTGATGAGCAGTATTTTTCCATTGTTAAATTAAATATAGATGAACTATTAAAAGACCTGTGTGACTTGATCCCTCTCTCCTGCTGCCTGATGGCTGCCTCCAGTGTGGATCAGCTGAAGGTCTATTAAATGGGCTCGTGCAAGTTGATTCTGAATTTGCTGGCAAAACTCTTATTGGCATGTGTGGGTGCAGGGGAGAGGTGTGTAACCAATGTCCCTGGAGGGATGTTCTGAGTCCTTGATGAGCAAAAACAAACCCATATGGAAACAAAAACTCAGAATGTAAAAAACCAGTGTTCCTGCTTATGGACTGAAGCCAGGATCCCAGTAATCTGGTGTCTGATCTGCCCCCACCTAGAAGGACTAGGCTGCCAGAGCCTGGCCTGTGGTACTCAAGTCAGTGATTCTGTCATATCCCTGCTAGCCTTCCTTTTTGAATTTGGCTTTTGCTAAAGAAACTAATTCAATAACTTTTTTTGGTAGACTTGACAAATTATAAAGTAAACTAATTAATGTTAGGAGCATAAATGGCATTTTAGACTCAATCCCTGTTGCTTTGGATGCCTTCGAGAACTTTGCCATCAAATTCAAAGGGAAAAAGATGATCCTGTGTGCTCAAAAGATCAGTTTTGATATAGAGCTTTGGCATTTAAACTATTTCTTAAGAACAGTACTAAACCAAAAATTGCAGTCACTTCACAAGTAAATAATAAACTTTATACTGTGAGGGCATAGGGGAATATTGTACTGGTTAATCAAGCCTTGAGACATAAAATAGGCATAAATACTAGTCTCACATCCTTGCCTGAGAAAAGGCTGCAGGATGGATGAGAGCTTGGGTATTAACATGTTCTGACACCAGGCATGGTTCTGTCTCTCTGAAGTTAATGAGAAGCTTTCTCTTGATTTCTGAGAGTGCCAGATTGGGATGGGCATGTCTGCCTCTGACATTAAAATAAAGCTTTGAAACAGCTGTGTTAAAAGAAACATAAAATAGATACCCTGCTTCCCAGTTTAAAATAAATAAATACAGAGTTGCCCCGAGGACCCGAAATTGTCTCTAACACCCAACAAACAATAGTTTATTTCTTACCTTAATGACAAACTCTCTGGAGCTCTGGGTAAAAGGGCGTTTAAAGGAAAAGCACTGTGAGTTCCCAGAGCCTGTGGGGAGAGCCACTTGGGCACCTGATTAGGATTCCAAGTGAATGTGAGTTCATTTAACAATCTCTTTCAATGTTGTCTTTTGTGCAGACCGGTTTGGACTCGGACAGCCAGGCAGGATGCCTGCTTCTGTGAATGCCATGCGAGTCCTGAGCACCAGCACAGATCTGGAGGCTGCTGTGGCCGATGCACTGGTAAGAGGAAAAATACAAAATGCTTCCAACACCGGAAAGTGGCTTAAAGTTACCTGTACGTATGTTCTCCTCTTTCTAAATAGCTTTGTTCTGATTGTGCCAGTGTCTGATACTGTAGAGTTAGTTACCTTTTGCTGTTTTGTCTTCGGCTATATTGGCAGCAGTATATTTTTCCCTATTTCGTGTTAGTTCTCTGCAGTTGTTATCAGACAGACTGCTGTGGCTTGGTGCTAGAGCTGCAGGATGGGTTGGATCAGCTGTTTGTCTTTCACTTGGCTGTCAGAGGATGTTTACGGCACCGTGAGGGTGCTCATCACTCATGGGGTTGGAGATTTCCATCAATCCCATTACCTGCATAAAGACTTTGTCAGAAAAAGAATGTCCTCTGTTAGAGTCAATTCCTGATCTGGTTTCAGCAATAACTGAGAATTTCACAAGTTCCTGCCCCGTGTTTATTTGCACCTGGATAGATACTCAGTTAGCTCATAACCTGGCTTGCATGGAATTGGTACCATCTCATGCAGTTAAGTTGTATTTGTCTAATTTGCTGCTAGTACTTTCAAACATTCACTGCTTTTCCCAGTAAATTTATTGTCATTCTTAAAAATTTCATTGTCCTGTATAATCTTACTCAACTGTGGTAGCTCTTGACTAGAACCCAAAAAGTGCCTTCTGCTCTTCAGAAGGCAAGTGTTAAGCTTTTGGATTTACCTCAAGTATTTGGGTGAGAGAGGATGTGTAGAAGCAGGAGAAATTACTGTATAGCATTAGCTGGGTACCAGTGGGTCTTCTTAAGCTCCAGGTCTGAACTGAGGGAAAGATTTCCTGGTGTATCTTGAGACAGATATCTCAGAATCTATCTCAGGTTGTCTTTAAGGAGGATGAACCATCCCCAGTGTTTGTGGTGGATGGCCTTTCTCCATTTCCTAGTTCACTTTCCCTAAGGATGGCTAACGTGTTCCTTTTGTATCTGATTATCACCCAGCTCATGTCACCTATTAGAGTACTCTTAGAAAAATGGCCCTTTTTACAAAATTTACCTTTCAAAACAAAAAAAGTATTTCTGAATACTAGAAAGGTAAGATAGTATATAATGGATGGCACTGTTGCATTTAGTGGGCTGAATCATTAGTGAACATTCCCATTACCAAATACAACAAACAACATGTGAGACAGTTCTGCTCTCAGCACCTCAAATTTGCCACCAGAGCAGTTCAGAGTATAATTACAGGCAATGGTTTGCCTGTGTTAATGAAATCAGGCTTTATCCTTGCATGTGAACAGCTGCTGAATAAAGGTTTTGTGAGGGAGAAGAGTCACAGTGTTTCAATTGACTGCTGAGCACTGAGATTTTTTGGGTGTGACTTAATCTTCAGTTAGACTTACAGAGTTCCCTTTTAAGTATCTCATAAATTAAATAACATTGTACTGCAATGTTAAAATCTTGAAGGGTTGAACACTTTAAAAGGGAAATACTTAAGTCTAGTTGGAAACCAGGTGGTGCTGCTGACTGTTGATCAGTCTGAATTTGTATGACTTTAGGGGATGCAATGCAATGTTGCTGTCCCCTTCTTTCCCACCAGCCCAATTTGCTCTTTTTCTTGGTTGCCTTCTCACAACAGGCGATTTACAAGCCCTGTGCAGGCTCCTTTTGAGAATAATGTGATGCCAGCTTTTACCCAGTAGCCTTGTTTTCAGAGGAGTTTTCTTTTACATGTAGTAGAAAATGAAAAGAACTTCTCCAAAGGTGGCTTGAGCCAAATTCTCCATTTAAACAAAACACAGTGGGTCATTTTGTGACCTCTACTCCCTCTGTACAAATCCCATTGGATCCACTGCTTCTGTTTGAGCTGGACTTGGCCTAAACCCTACAGTGGCTGTACTGGGAATCAGTGCTCAGATCTGTCAGAAGACCTCAAAGGGTGATGGAAACTTCGCTGTTAAGTGAGGCCTTTAAGCCAGGCGTGCCAGCCAGGGGGTCTTAAAAGAAACTAATCTTCAAAAAAGTGTGGCGTAAGAACTGTGGGTTGAAAGAGAACTTGGCAAGTGAAGTTGATAAAATGTGCTGTACTGTAGATAGTGGCTTCCTCACATCAGAATTTCTTTGTAAGACCCTAAAACGAAATACTACTAATTATATGTGGGGAAAGAAATCATCACCAAAACCTCTGGTATCTTTCGGTGCAGAGTTTCTGAAAAGTAAGCAAAGAGGTGCTATATATAGATCTGTTCCTAAAAAAGAGATATTCTCACTTCCAAGCTCCCCTATGGAAACTTTAGGCAATACGAGTAGTGCAACAGTTAGGAGATATTCAGGCGTTATTATACCCACTTTTATTTTGCGTAAACTGTATTTTTTTTTAATTTGCTAAGACACATTTGCTATACGTTTTTGTTGCATAAACAAACCCTACATAAGCTTCTGACATAATTCTCTATGCTTTTTCCCACCCTTCAATATTTTCCTGCCTACAGCTGTTAGGAGACTCCAGGAGCAAGGTACTAGTGCTTTCTTGACTTTTTATTTCTACTTTCCAACTCTCCCCACCCTGTTGCTAATGCCCATGATACTGCACTTGAGTTAATTTCTATGCTTCAATCCTTCAGTCCTAGTGGAAGCAAAACTCTGCTGGCTTCACAAGTCTAAGAACTGCAGGACTGGACACTGGAAGGAGTTCTGTAGCAAACACTTCAGAATATAGATGATCTGTTTTTGATATATTGTCCTATCAACCTGTTCTGTTAAGGTTCATTTGACAGTTTATTTTGCTGCCATAATTATTCTAATACTCCTTCTGGAAGTGTCAAGGTTGTCAAAAATGTATGTAAGAGAATTAGGTCCTCTAATGCTGTGCTATGGAAATGAGTGGGATTTGAGTACTCAATTCCCTTGGCAGCCTCTGGAAAAATCCTAGCCCAAACTAACAGAGAAATTGCCATCTCCTGTATCCAGTGCATTTCTAGAGTCACTTCATTATCAATATCAAAGTGACTGTGCATGCCAGCACAGATTTTTTCAGCTCTTTCTTCCTTATCTTCTTTTTTTTTTTTTTTTTGAAGTAGAGGTTATGTCATCATAGCATCTGTAACAATGGAACTGACCATTATTGCCAATAAAACAACATTTAATTTCATTACCTGTAACTAATTCGACTGGGCATAAATATCTTGCTTTCCTGCGGGGGAAGGCAGGCCCTACTCCCTTTAGTCACTCGAATAGTCTCGTTGAAATCAGTGGGATCTATCTTACTCTACTGTGAGAGGTAAGCAGGCAGTGCATGGTGACGTCTTTAAAACACGTATGTCACTATAACAGTAGTATTAATCTTCCTTTTAGTGATTACAAATAGAATGCTTTTCTTTTGGCATTAATGTAACTATATATAACCTGGTAAGTCTGAGTTTCCCCTTTTCCAGAAAAAGCCAGTGAGAAGAAGATATGAACCCTATGGGATGTACTCTGATGACGATGCCAACAGCGACGCATCAAGCGCTTGCTCGGAGCGCTCCTATGGCTCCAGGAATGGGGGCATTCCACACTACCTGCGACAGACAGAAGATGTGGCTGAGGTCCTGAACCACTGTGCCAGCTCCAACTGGTCTGAAAGGAAGGAAGGGCTCATAGGTCTTCAGAATTTACTGAAAAGCCAGCGGACACTGAGGTGACCTTCATGGTTTTATGGTGTCAGTAGTTCATGAGTAGGCATGGCTATAGTGAGAAGTCAGTAATATGTACCTGTTGTATGGAGACAGGTAGTATCTTTTATGGCTGTGAAGGCTTTGTCTTCATAATGTGGGATTCTGTTAACCTTTGGAAAAATTTCTGCTATGTCATCAGTATAATTTCTGTTAAATTGTGGCAGTAATGTAGGAAGGGCTCAGGTAAGCATGCTGTCTTCTCTTCGCCTTCCTCTGTCTCATGAAGACCTCCAGTGGTAGGTGCTTGGAGCAGCACAGTGAGGTTTCCCACAATGATGGTGTTGTAAACATACTCAAAGGGTGGTACCATTTTTACCTTATTCTGTTTGAACCTTCAATATTTTTTTCCACAGCAATTTCGTTGGCAAAGCAAACATTGCACTTACCCTAAAATGAGTCAGGGTGTGTGTGTGTTTCAGAGCTGAGATCAGACAGTGCTGACGTTGGATATACTTTGACTCTTTATGGAGGCTGTAATTATAGATCTTGTTTATAACTCTTGAAAAAACTTCTATCAGAAACTTGTGTCCTGTAAATTTAAGTGTATAATGTAGAGTGAAGATTCTTAGGGCAAGGAATTAGGTGTACCAACTCTGAAACTTTACTTATGGTAGGAGAGACAGACCTTTTTTTATTGTTACAAACCACAAAAAACCCTTCAAACAGCTTTGACAAGTCACACTTGAGAAGAAGTCTTCTGATTATCCAGTAGTTATGTGGAAACTCCCTATAGACCACAGGTCATGGTAACTAGACAACTGATTCTCAGGCCATAGCCTTTTCATCCTTAGTTTATGGTGAAAGTATTTGAAACAAGCTGTTTATCTCTTGGCTCCTTTGAAGATAACATTCACAAATAGCTGTGACAATTTTATTTTCCTGTTATGAGTAGTATGTTAAATTATGGCCAAGTTTATAAGTGGTTGTTGCAGGATTTATAGCCTACTTATTTGGATTTGTGCAAGTGTTTCCATTTTAAAAGGGCTTCACACTGGCTGAAAATATTTGATTGTTCATATTAACAGTCTGAATGAAAATGTACTGAGAGCAGGCCTTGAAAAGTTGTTTTCTTGCCATCATAAAAATATTCTAGCACTTCACGATATGATACAGTCCTTAAATGGGAAGTGCTACAGGTTTTTAGAATGAGTAGTTAGTCTCTAGATCAGAGATGCTTTTTGATGTGGTCTGTTTCTGAGTCTCTTAATACTACCCACACGTGTGCTGTCTTTTTTCTTTCTCTTTAATAAACTGTTTGGAAAAACTGTGGCACCTCATATACTTGTATGAGAAAGTTGGGTGAGACTTTGATTTTGCCATGAAAATGTGTGAGGATTGGAGGTGTGTTTGGAGTGCTGTTGGGGATAGTTGCAAAGAATTGCTGACAAGTTTTGGTGATGGGCTATTTATTCAGATCAGTAGCTTTTACAAGAAATGCCGGTGGAGTTAAAGTATTGATTTCGACTCTGCTGGTTGCAGTGTTTGAACTGTGCTGCTGTCACTAGTCCCTCAAGCTAGCAAGTTGTCTTAGCTTTGATCCTGAATAATTTTTAAACCTGTCCCAGAAACTACAGCTCTGTACAGTTATTTTTTGATACTGGGTTTAGTTCTCTATATTTCATTTTGGTTTTCTTTTGATCTGCTTTCTTCTTGGTTCAGAGTTGATCTGGTGCCTGTTCTAATGATTAGATTTTATCATCCCATTTGTTCCCACGGCATCTTGCAGAACATCATCAAGGTCATTAGTCCAAGGGGCAAGTCTGTCTTCTAATTAAACCTTATATCTTCTGTTGTGGTATAACAAGTTAATAAAAGGCAGTGATGTGGCTAGGTTTTCTTTAGTATTCTGAACTGAAAGATTAGCTGGGATTTGCATATCCAGAGATGTGCATGCAAAGTGGAACGGCACTTACCTACCCTCTTTGTTTCATACAGCTTCATGTGGCCTACTTTTCTAAGGGCTCCCCATAAAGTCTTCTAAACAAAACAAGGCCAATGAGTCCCTGAAGGAAATATTCTTCCACTATCTGTTGCAGTTTAGTGCTTGCATTGTTACCTTGGGTCCGTGAGCTTTTAGAAACGGACACAGTTATACTTGATGACTTTATATAACCTTTGTCCAGAAGGAAAATTAATTAGAGTAATAAATAGGGGTTCATTCAGAGAGCTGCAATCTACATGAAGTCAGGAGAGTGTTGTAGTCATTTTGAGACTGTGCAGCCTGACAGCTTACTGTGATGTTACAGAGACTTTTTCCTCTCTCTCAGACTCTTAAAACCATTGGGTTTGTGCCCTTTTAAAATTTGATCAGTCTTTCATTCATAGATTTATTTGAAAAAACTGTCCTGTGTTACTTATGAATAATCTAACATAAAACAGGTGTAGACTACTAGCATCTTCTGGCCTGTTCAAGGCTTATTTTTAGAAAGAGAGAAGTTGGTGGACTGTAAAATTAACAATGTCAGTCTGGAAAGATGTTACCTGTAGCCAAAACCTTCAGTAACTCTTCTCTGAGCAATCAGTGTGCATTTCACTAGTTGCTCTGGTTTCATAGTAATTGTGAAAAATACCTAATTGCATCCATAGTATGCAGGAAATGTAACTTAACTACCTTACTCTGGTTTTGTTTGCACCATAAACAACCAAAGATTCTGTATTCTTTGCCAGTTTGCCTTGAAGGAAAGCTAAGATTTTATTTTCGATACATTGCAAGTAAGAGCTTCGGCACCAAAGAATTCTGCATGTGGTGACTCAAATTCAGTATTTCATGCAGCATTTTTTCCCCTTTCATAAAAAGAGCACTACTGAGCACCTACTGATGTCTTACTAACAGGAACTTAGACTGTGCCTTGATTTAATTATCTTCTGATAATTTGTTGATCTGTCTTCCATTTCTATGTATTTGTCTCCTAAATGTGCTTACTGTCAGACTATGGAGTCTGTTTTGATCTGTTGATGTGTGATTCTAGACTGATATTAGTGAAGCAACTGAGATTTTAGACCAAAATATTTGATTAGTATATAGCCAAACAACGTGAAAGTTCTCAGTTTACTTGGAAATTTGAAACCCCTGACACAAAGGAGACTTGAGAAACCTATTCTTAAGCTGAAAAAGATGCACGATTCAGTGATTCAGTGACCTTGACTCAGGCAGAAACTAAGTGCCCCCGAAATGTGCACATTTCAAGTTATCTTCTGAAATCCAGAATACAGAAGAAAATAAAAGCATCAGAAAATCCAAATGTCTGACTTAAAATTTTTTAAAAATAAATATTTATTAGATTTCTTAATGTAAAACTGGTGATGCCAGCAATTAAACTGGAGTGGCAGTTGAGGCTTTACCTAGACACACAGAGTTTTCAGAAGCATTATTGAAGTAACATTTAAATCTTTCAGCTGTTAAAATTTACTAGCTTTTTTTTCCCCCTGCAACTAAGGCTTTAGCATTAATATCATGTTTCATTTATGTATTTTAGCCGAGTCGAGTTAAAAAGGCTGTGTGAAATATTTACTCGCATGTTTGCTGACCCTCACAGCAAGGTAAGATCACAAAGACTTGGCTCGTGCTCTTACGTTACTATGTGTGCACATTTGACACTGTTTCAAGATGAGTGTTTTGTATTTCTACCCCTGCCATCTGCTGGGGGAAACTGGCATTTATGAATCTCCTTGATTTTCGTCTTTTTTACAAGGAAGGGATGTGTCTCAGTCTCTCTTATGTTGCTAGGAACCAGTCACTCCATGCTTCCTAAGGAGCAGCCTAATGCCTTTCAGAGGTCACCTCCTGGAGTGAGAAGTTCAGTTTTATCTGCACTTCTCTAGGGAGTCTCCTGGTGGTCCATGAAGGGTCATGAGCATCACAGTCACTGGGGTTAGTGTGTTGGGTACACTTGAGAGCAGTTTGGGGTCTCCCCAAGATACTATTCTGAATCTCACAATTAAAGTCTTTCATGTAGCACTTTGCCTTCTTTATAACACTGCCCTTTGAAGTTAAAGGGTGTGGCATGAATTTACAGACATTTCTTGAAAAAAAGTGGGCTAGAGGATGAAGTGGTTGGGTCCATAGGGATGTTCAGACCCAGTGGTCTTCTGTTGACAGGTAAGTAGGAGCAGAGAGAAGAGAAAAGGGAGTTTCATACCCCTTCCTTAGGAGATTTGCTGTTTAGGGCAGCCAGTAATGTCTGGGTAAAAACATCTGCTGTTGGGTTAAATACAGTTTGAGAAAGAATAAGTTTATACAAATATTTGTACTTCAAGACCACTTGGTAAACCAGTTTTAATAAACGATGGTCACGTGGAAATGACCTGGGCAGGCAGTGTTGCCTGTCACAGGTCTTGCTCAAAATGTGCATTTTTGGCCTTAATTATAGCGTGGACCAGCTGTCCCACAGGTCTTGCCCAATGTGTAGTTCCTACCTGTAAGGTCTTAAAGTTTCAGTTCTCAGGGGTTTGGTATGTGTTGTGCAAAGAGTGAAGGTGTAACTATTTGTTTGCAAAATATTTCCGATTTCTGAGTAAGGTGAGAGCTTATTGTACTCTGGACTCAAGTATGTCTTTGTGGCAGCAGTGATCTGTTATCTGCACTGCTTTTATAGAATTATTGCTACAAACAAATTAGTTGTGGTGTTAAACACATTTAAACTTTGTTCATATAAATGTATATAAACATACGTTACTTTCATGACTGAGGAGACTGGATCTGATCCAAGGTATATAATGTTTTAAGTAACTCCGCTGAGAAAAGATTGTGTTTTAAGAAAATGTAAACTTTCAATGAATGTGTCTTTTATCTGTTGACAAACTGCATCTGAACCTTGATCACTATGTGTGCTAACGAGTGGTTTGTTTTGTTGCATGGCCTGCTTTGCCGTGGAATTCACAACAGAGAGTAAGTGTTTTCTACCCCCTTCCTTCATTCGTTTCATGTGGTATTTTAATACAACACATTTTAGACGTCTCGTTTGATTTCTTTTTTTTTTCAGAGCAATGTAGTTACTAAAATCATTCATTCATGAAACTGTTTATAACAAAGTCATTCTGAAACTCAGATTGTAAACCCCTTCCCTTTGATTATTTTTATTTAAAGCACTGTATTTCTTTTTGTGACACTTGTTTTGTTTATAGGTCTTCAGCATGTTTCTGGAAACCCTGGTTGATTTCATCATCATTCATAAAGATGACTTGCAGGACTGGCTTTTTGTTCTCCTGACCCAGTTGCTAAAGAAAATGGGAGCAGATTTGTTGGGGTCTGTGCAGGCGAAAGTTCAAAAAGCTCTGGATGTTACCAGGTAGAGTACTCAGATGACAAATGTTATGGAGGTATTTTCAGCATTACAGAAGGCAGGAACATTTTAGAAATCCAACAGTGCTGTATAATTTTGAGGGCTCAGTCTTTATGAATACCAGAATAGAGGAGAACAAAGTTATGTCACAATATTTCAAGCATTGAATTGAAAAGGCCTGTCTCTCTTTTAGATAAATAACTTTAAAGCATAATTTTAAAATATGTAACTGATTAATTTTGGAGTTTTGGGGGGTATGTGCGCTTAGATATCAATTTTTTTTGACTGACAGGTACAAAAATTTACAGTATTCATAATATGAAAGGGGCTTTACCCCAAAGTTTGGAGCATCTTTAATGTTGTTCAAACAGCAAATAACAGTCATGTCAGGATCAGACCTTGAATGCTACTGTGATGTTCACACAATTCTGTCCTCCATGTCCTTTTGAGGATGTCCAGCACAGGACAGTGTTACAATAAGGTTCAACTCATTCTGGAAAATAGGATAATTTAAAAAAAAAAAAAAGTAGTAATAATCTAGGAGAAAATAGGATAGAGTAGGAAAAAAGAGGAGAGAAATCAAAGCCAGGTATGAACTCCGAGGACAAGATAAACTAGGCTGCTTCTTGAGATAAGGGAACAAAGCAGAGTCTGAAATGAAGAAGGAATGGTGTGCCAAAAGCTGGAGAAGTGTACAGAGAGTAGGTAGAATAACAGTGTATAAAGATACTGATTTAGAACTTTTCTCCAGTATTCTGTCAATAATCAGCTGATCCTTAGATTTGGAGTTTCTCTGGTTGATGGTCAAGTTAAGAAGAAGAAAAGAGTAAATGTTGAAATCTGGTGTGTAAGCTTTAATGTATTGAGTTAATTTTGTCCTAAACATTTATTTTGCATTACATTTTTGCCTTTGTTTTCTTTGGACAGGGATTCTTTTCCGTTTGATCAGCAATTTAACATTTTGATGAGGTTTATTGTAGATCAGACCCAAACACCAAATCTGAAGGTCAGTATCAAAAGCTGTTTCACTAAAGCATCAACATGCTTGTCTTACCTTGCCATGTCAGGCATACCATAAGGCATAGAACTCCTGAGAAGGTAATTAATTGTAAGTACATCCATGATATAGGAATTATATTGGCAACTTTGATTAACTCTCTCATTCTCCATATTAATAAATGGGAATATCTTTAAAATAGGGCCCTATAACTCATCACACGTCACTAAGAGTTGGGCTTTAAGCACCTGGGAACATTTTAAAATTTAGACATGGAATTCCTCTTCATCCTGATCTTGGTGGGAAGAAAACCTGTCTATGCAGGACAGAAGGGACCAGGCTCTGAACATCTGGGAAGCTGGGATCCCAGACACACCTTAACAAGTACTTACTGCACCAATCAGGTGTAGCATGTATAAGGTTTGGAGAAAAAAACCCTCAGAGCTTTCTGTCATTGAATCATCCCTGAGGGATACTGTTGTGCAGACCGTTTTTTCAGGAGGTTGCTGTTTCAGAAATAGGAACACCGTAAATTCTGGAAGTTGTATACATTTATCTTCCAGAGACAGGAATATATTAGATGCCAAATGATTCAGGTGTTCTTTCTTCAATCACCCAAATGTTGGATCTTTTCAGACTCCAGCATCAGGCATTTTTTGTTTGAGACCAAAAGCTATAGTTTGGCATCTGGACCAATAACTGCTGGTGGAAACAGCGTGGTGGAGTTCTGATCTGCTTTTGCAAATGTACCATTTCAAGCCAGTTCTGATATTCCATTCCAGACTCTTACTGGAGTGGAATTTATCCGTGATAGAAAGTTGCTCTTGGTTTTTGGAATGTGGTAGATATGTCACAGGACTACTTCCCTCTCTCTCTTCCCTTGCCATGTGTGACATGAGTCTTATCAATCTGTAGTGGTATCTGTTTACTATGGGATAAATCCATCTTTGCCAACCCCTGAGTTTAACAAATCCCCTTTTCATTTCTCAGGTGAAAGTTGCTATCCTGAAGTATATTGAGTCCTTGGCAAGACAGATGGATCCAACAGACTTTGGAAACTCCAGTGAGACAAGGCTTGCTGTATCTAGAATTATAACTTGGACAACAGAACCAAAGAGCTCAGATGTGAGAAAGGTAAGCCAAAATGATGCAGTAATTTTTGGTCTTTAAAAAGGAAAAAAAACCTAAACAAACCTGTCATAAAGGTAATGCAAAAATCAATGATTAAACTCTAACTGAAAAAAACCCTGATTCTGCATACCTCTGCATACTGTCCAAATGAAATTGTCAACTCATTATAGACACAGTTTTGAAGCATGCCTTCATATATTTCTTTTCCTAATAGGTACCTAATCTCTGTGTGACTTTAACTACTATTACCATGCAAAAAGAGATGATAGTTTGAAAATGTGCTTTTCCTTAAGCAGTCTGGAAATATCTCTAGGGTTTTTTTTGTTTAGTGAAGGTGCTGGGCTTTGTAGACTGAAATGTAGCACAACCTCAGTGTTATAATATTGTTAAAAGAAAGTAAACAAATCAGTAAGCTGCCAGAGGCTCTCAGCCCTTCTCTTTTAAGAGCTGTGTGTTTATCTCTACCTGGAAAAAACTGACACAATTAGGTCAGACCTCAGTAATAGTTACCTTGTTCTTTATCTTGCTCAGGTGCAAGTGTCAGGCAAGCTAAAATGTGGAAGATGGGGATGCTCATCTCTCCCAGGAGAAAAGCGAGATTTGGTTTTATGTACCTGGCATCTGTTACACAATTTAAAATTACCTTCTATTCCTAGTAGGAGTGGAAGACTTTGAGATGTACTTGAATTTTTTAAAAAAAAAAAAACAAACCACCAAACTTTAATAATTCCAGAAGGTAAAAATTGTATGACAATTTGACACTATATGCACATAAAATGCCAACTTAATATTAGAATAACATATGATTTTATAACTTTGGAAATAATTAAATTATTTTTATTTGATTCCAGTGAAAAGATCACTGGGTATCAAATGTGCTGCCACTGCAGCATTATGGGATAGCTGAAACAGGGCTTCAGAGAAGCTGTTAGGGTGTGTGCTGTTTGCTTGCTCTCGTAGAGCTGACTGGTTCTAGAGAAAAATATCTTGTCCTCTATTCTGAAGACTTTGTGCAGGGGTTATTCACAGCAGTGTAACTGAAATTTGCTTCTGTTAGACAGTCTGCCTCAGGAAAAAAAAGAGGACTTTAAATCCTGGTCTTAGATCTGGAATATGCATTTGCATGTCCAAAGCCAGAAAGAATTGAGCAGTCAAAGCAGCTGCTTCTCTGTTAGAGTTCAGGTAAACCTTAAGCAGTTTCCTCTGCTGGTGATCTGTGAGGGAGAGTTGGAATTACTTTAAGTAAAAATAGACATCGAAAAGCAAAATCTCTGCATATTGCTCAGCAATTTCAGGAGAAATATTCCACCGTTAGGGGTCATCATTGCTGCATGCAAAGTGGAGCGAGGAGTATCTGCTGCAGCTGAAAGAGTTGGCTGTTCCCTCTGGGATGTGGGGAGCGGTTGCTCACAGCGTGGTGTCCGTCATTCTGTCTCTCTCAATGACTTGCAGAGCTCTGGCAAAACTTCCAATAAACTCCACCTGAGCAGTACTTGGGCAGGAGCCTTGGGGTTGACAAGAGATTACTGAATCTAAATTCTTTTTATTAGACCTTCATGTGACTTGGATTTGCCTTTGATGCCTGTAGCTTTCAAATAAATTATTACACAGTTAAGCTAACTTAGGCTGCTAAAAACGAAGTCTCAGGTGATCTTTATTTCATCATACCGTTGCTGTATTATGCTTTTATTGAGAACAGAGTACAAACCACAGGCTTTAGAAGAAACAGTGCAGCAAGGGATTTATAAGCAATCATTGGCCATTATGTCTGTCAGGACTGTAGTTAACAGACTAATAAATTCATTACGCTGTAGTGAACTGGATTATCAGGGGCCAACCCTGGCAGGTGAAATGTTATGAAGAATACAATTAAAACATTGCCCTTGTTTTTTTTGGAACTATAACTTGGGAAAAAAAAGAAGTACCTTTTTTTGAAATGAATAAAGATGATTCATTTAAGCATCAGAAGATTCTACCCTTGTGGAGGGTGTTGTGGTAGCCTTCAAGATCTGAGGTTTTCTAAATGTAGAGCAGACCATGAATTGTAAACACTGTGATGACTTAAAAATGGAGAGGGTATTTGAGGTTATTGGGAAGAGGGAGAAGAACCAGTTTCATCTTGAGATGATTGAAGGATTGAAGTACCACAAGAGGCCTGTAAAAAGTGTAAAATAAGGTAGTTTTTGAATAGGATCCAGACTTGAGACTACCAGTGCAATCAGCTTAGCTCCTGCAACCTGACAGGAGTGCACATTATTTTTGGTACTGAGGACTCCCGGCTAGTGTTGTCCAGTCCACCTGTATGACTGTGGCTGACTTGGTAGGACAGTGATGACAGTGCTCAGCTTCTTGTGGAGGCAGGGGCTCTTTCCCCCAAGAAATATGGTTCCACATGTCCTTCTTACGCAAGTTTGAGTTACTGAATGCTATCTTAAAGCAAGTAGCATTTGTGTGTGTGACAACCATGCTGTTATGTCTGGATTTTACCTTAGAACAGAGGCAGGTAAAACAAGTTTCACTCATACTGATGATCTCTGTCAGTGAGCAAAGTATGTGGCTGCTGTGTGCACATGGCAATTGGTTGTGCAAATCTGATGCTATGGTGGCAATCAAGGTGTCTGTTCAAGAAATGGATTATATTTTCAGTCAATGCTGAGATTATCCTTTTATTAGTGATCATCTGTCTATTACTGTGGTAATAATCTGTCTATGTGTGGTGGTCATGGAGGTACCCAGTCTCCTAGCGTTGAGGCACTGGAGGAAAACAGAGCCAAAAATGTCATTTTAGTAAAAAAATTTTTTCAAACCGAACGATACAGCTTTACTAATAACTTTGTGCCTTTTTGGACAACTACTTGAACACACTTAATGAGCACACTTAACCAGTCTGACACTTGGCTTGAACTACAGATCATGTTTTGTAGCTAAGAAAATCAGGAAAAGTCAAAGGAAATGCTGTTGTGCACAAACCAGTTTATGTTCCCATATGGAATGACATCTGTAGTTAAACATAAGCTCTGTTAACACAAGAAAAACATGATGTACTTTGAGAAACATCCAGTTGATACCAAAGAGTGTCATTGACAAAATGCCATGATTCCCTCTCAGGGCAGAAACCATTTAAGCTGCGGATAGTAGCCATGAACTGTGTACAGTTAAAATAATTGTCAAGCTTTAGCTTTAAAATAAGGTGATCCACAGTCTGTTATGGGTAAATATTTGACTTGTTTTAAAGATTGTTAGTACTTGTGGGCGTTTACCTTGCATTCAAGTTATGATTTGCTTCCTGCAACCAGTGTTGGAAAAAAGGTGGAGACGTTTGTTCCCCATGCTGAACAAAAGCCATAGGGTAGGAGCAGGTCCTGCAGCACTGCATGGAGACTTGGATGGGAAGTGGCTCCAGTGCAAGGAGAGCACCTGTTGGTAATTCCCACACGTACAGCCAGCTTGCTGCTTTTTCCCCAAGCAGAATTGATCAGTGGGCAGGGCACAGATCAGGATTCCAGATAACTGAGCTCTGATTTTGATTGTGGTAGCATCTAACCTTGTGTGATGCACTTGACTTTCTTCTGCCTTGGTTTATTCCTCTTTGTAGCAGGGTGTTATTTCTGCATTTTTCTGGAAATTGCTGAAGATTTGGTGAAATAATTTTACAAAAACCAGTTAATTACCACACAGAAAAGTAACACAATGGCACTGCCAACAGTGTGATGACTGATCTGAGGACATAAAATCAGTAACTTCACCATGTTATCACACTGACAAGAAAGTTATTGTGCAATCGTTACGTAGGTAAAGTGCTTATTGAATTTAGATGACAGGCATGGGTTCTGTGTGAGAAAATACTTTGACCCTGGAAAAGAGCTATCAGTTTGAGAATGGAATTTAGAATAAGGCTTCTGATTTGGCTCTGGCCAAAGCCTGCAGAAGCTTCCTGTCCAAGGCTCAGCTGAATGGAAACTTTCATTAAACATGAACGCCCAGACTTTGAGGGTGTGGAATCAACTGTGAGGGCATACAGGATCTTAGTGTTTAGGAGGAGCTTATACAGACTGAAGGAGAATGAGGGCTTCTGAAGTGAAGGGCCATTGACAATGCCTACCATCTTGTTAATCAGCCAGGCTTTGGTCTTAATGATAAATAGCAAGATCTGTAGATCTGTATTGCCTGATTGGTATTTGGACTACTAATCTCAGGGCAGAAGAAATTTTTACCTTTGTGCCAGGTATCCTGACTGGCTTCTTTGTTGATGAAACATTTCTACAGTGGTTTTATTTTACAAGCCTGAAGGCATTTTTACATGTTATGGGCAACCTTGTGTCACATGGACATCACGTTCTGCCTTCCACTTATGTAACTGGGAAAACTTTTTCTTTCAACTGTCCCACTTGTCACTGCAAGCTGCCCTTGAATACAGACAGTTGGATGGGACTTGGTAAGAAACTGGAACCATTGCAAAGATTCAAAAGCCCAGGAGAGTGCTTGTGTTACTGTGATTTGCATGAAGATTATGTCTCTCTCAGACTACCTCGGGGAAGGGCCCTCCTTGGACTGGCACCACTGGTGAAGTCTAGGGGTATCCAAAGAAAATGAGTTTGGGATCAGGTTTTTTCCCAAAAACTGATTGAGAAACTGTTTCTAAATTACACCAGAACATGAGGAAGTTTTCAGAGAGAAAGCTTCAGGTCACAAATTCTTCATAAGCTGAAGCAGGCAATGGAGATGTATTTATTACTTTAACTACTAATCCTCAAGGTCATTTTCTGAGAAATATTGGTGTTGTCACTTTGATAAAGAAATCCTATCTATCAATAAAGCTGAGAGCAACTTTGGATAAAATATTGCTGTGATATCCGTAGCAGGACCAGTGATAGACAGGATAGCAAATGCCTCTAAGAAAATGAAATCAGGCTCCTTTGCATCATGATGCCATGAGACCTCTAAAATCTTTTGAAGTTTTAATTTTCCATCTAGCATCAGGCTGATTTCAGCAACTCTGGGAC